TATTTTTATTACTTTATTTACTTAAATATATTCGCTTAACATGTCTCTTGTTCTTCTGATGAAGATTGTACAGTCTACACATTGCTGAGGTGCTAGTTTTAAGCGGAAACAAGCATGACTACTTCAATCTCTTGCAAACGTGACCTTTACTAATTGCATTCTCAAATTACTTCTCTGGTCTACCTTTACAAGACGAAAATTCTAATATTAACCACAATTATTTAGTGATTTACCTACTTAAAACTTACAAAACAATTAGTTTCCTACAATTTTCCACAGAACGAAAACACACCTATTAAAAACGTGAAACTTTCAGTGAAATAGCCATTTTAAAAAAATTACCAATTGACACAAACTAAGAACGCTACTGGATCCCCCCTCTGCTCAGTTTAATGTGCCCTACGAAATTGGTCTTAATGAACCCTTTGAATTACATACTGATAAAAGAAAAGTTTAAAGTAATATAGAAATAAACTATAACATAAAAATACAATTAAAAAATTGCTTAATATAGAATAACAAACAGCAATCCAGATTATTGGTTGAGTAAAACCTAACAAAGAAGCTCATTTACTGAAATCTCGAAGTTCTCATTTATCGTTAGTATCCGAGAATTAGTATATACGGAGAGAAGTAAATAACTAATAAAACTACCTTTTTAAGCAATTTTTTTAATTTAATTTTATCACGGAAACAATTCAAGAAAATCCGTTTACTCCGGCTCCATTAGTTACCCTCGATGATATGGTTAGTCTCTATGAAGATTACAATTTCTTCAAGTATATAAAATGACGAGTTTAAATAGTTTTTTAACTTTATAAGTCACAAAAAACATAATTACCTAATCTACAGAGGCTTTAATGATAAACGAATTCTAAGCAAACTTGACAAAAACCAAAAAAAGCCTCATTAAGTTGCACAACTAAACTTGAGAATTAAAACATTTCGAAACTTAAAATTCGAGAAATCCTATATACTACAAACTTTAAGAAATCACAAGAAACTTCATCCTTTGTCCCTTCAGAGAAAGGCCGAATATACCTATGGCGACATAGTTAAGGCGAATGTTTTAGTGCAATGTTATTTAGTCCTTGTCTAATCACAAAAGTAGTAGCTTCTGCAACCGAAAATAGCGCTATTAGCAGTAGTAATCCTGAAGATATGACTTGCCAGTATACCGTTTACGAAAGAAGTGAGATCAATTATAAACCTTATGCGTATAAAAAAAGCGCCAGGTTCCTACGGCTTAACGTCATTCTCAATAATGACCTGACTTTCACTTATAAATTATTTTTTTGAGTCATGTACTTTTCCTGAACGATAAAAAACGGCAGCTTTTGTGTGCCTTTCTAATTTAAAAAGTCCTTCTTCAAACTCTAAAGACTACTGTCCTATAATTCTTTTGGCGTATATTAACAAAATGACTGAAACTGTAATACTCAAACGATTACGAAAGTTTTGGAGAGTACTGGTCTGATACTAAAGGTTTCGAAGGGGTCACTCTGCTACGCAGCAGGTTTTACGTTTTTCCGACACGTCACGAAAAGGTTTAATAACTGATAAGTCAACATGTGCATTAGTAATGGATGACGAAAAAACATTCAACAGGGTAGGCACACTAAAATTTCAACGGAATTAGATTGCCTTTCCCTTTACAGTCTTTTCTGCCTCAAAGGGAATATTATGTCAGAGTGGAAAAAGCTAGCCCATCTAAAAAAACTGTCCATGGAGCCCCACAAAGCTCGCTACTATCTCCCAGCTAATTTGCTTTAGGTCATACCCAAACCTGTATATGCCTCAACTTTTTTGTCGTCGTTTGCAGGCGATACGGATGTGTATGCCTGCTCCAAATCTCCTTTAATAGCTTTAAAATATGGGGAAACGTATGTTTCCGCACTTGAGGTATGGTTTGAAAAGTGGTAAATTACAATTAACCCGCTTAAGAGTAAAGCTATAATTCTAGCGAAGAGGAGAACATAAAAAGAAATGATTGTTATAACGCTGTGCGGCCAAACAGCCCCAGGATGCACGGGTGTCATGTACTTGGGTATTTGGAACGACAAGCTATCTTCGTGGGGCCGTCACATTAACTACCTCTTTAGTAAACCGACGTTAACATATCAGGAACTTTATCCCTTTTTATGTAAAAAAAAAGTTTTTTTCTCCATGAACAACAAATTTAGCTTTATTTTGCAAATTATTCGGCGACTTTGACTTATGCAGCCGTGGCGAGGTCGTACGGCAGTCAACTAAATATAAGGCGACTTCAAGCGATTACGGTTTGCGGTATAAGGCTGTAAATGCCCGCTCAAATTCCGCTTATTTAGCTTTAAGGTGGAAACCTATAATGATTGCTCTCTAATATGGTTCGGTTAATGGCTGAAGAGCAAACTTACTTCTATACGATAGAGTGAACACAAACCCGAGCTTTCTGTTATTTCCGCTAGCTATTAACCGTTTTCCCGGAATATGGAGGTGGAATTTTTTTTGCTTACGTTACCAGCTCGTCACAAGCTAAGTTAGCAATTAAAAACCTTTAGTTCGCTAAAAGTAAAAAGAGCCCTTTAGCTATGCATTACAAACTTAAACCTTGGAGTGGTTGTACTATAGTGGAAGACTCGGATGCAAAAACCGTCTGCTGTTGTTATTCCTTGGTGCTCCATGGTTTATGCAGGACTCATTAACATCACGACCTGCTGTTAAAAATGCTTCAGAAATAAAAATATTTTATTTATTCCCACAACTCATATATTCAAGCGATAATTTATGATGTAAATGTTGACACTCCCTATAGGGATCAAGACAACTTCTCATAGCCTCAATGGTTGGAAGCGTATAAGATTTCAAATCTTTTATCAGATCGAGTAGTTTTTTTAAGCCCTCACTACAGTAGAAACTGGCTGTAATAAAAAATAATTAACTTTTAGGTTAAAACAGTCTAGATTAAAGCTTCACAACGGTAGTTCTATAATAGAAGTTGTATAGTTAGCCTTTTTTCCAGATAATTTAAATTAAAAAAAATGCAAAAAATACAATTAGTTAGTAGATTATACAGAATTATAATTAGTCGAGTTTTTTTAAACAAGTTGAAATTTGTAATATGATAAGCCGCATTTGTTTATGAAGTAAAAGTTTGAAAGAAAACCATATTATAGAGCGAAAAGTTTATATCATTTACAAAATTATTGTCGGTTTATGAATACTCTGAACGTTAATAGGTATTATGCTTAAACTGATGGTTTCTTTATACCCTAACAATCCCTTCTAATTTAATAAAAAAGAGCGCTAATACAATGCATACAATGAAACTGTTGCGTCCATTGACACTGGAAGTTGTAGTAACCAATAAAAGTCCTAAAGTAATTAAAAAGATTATAAATAAATTTGTAAAAGCCCCCTTAACTTCCAGCTTCAAGTTTTTATAAGCTTGTAGAAAGAAAGGGGCATATGGCACAAGCACTTCTTTTTCTCTTGCATATTTATTAAAAGCTTGATATTTGGTCAACAAAACTACTAGATAATAAATTAATTATTTATGTGCGTAGCCTATTTCCTGGTTTATACAAATGCAAAATCTTTTAAATTTATTTATCTAAAATGTTGTTGCGAGAGTAGAAATTATATAGCATAAAAAATGGAGGTGAAGGAGACTTGGCTTAAACAGCTTTCACCGTGTGTTGTTGTTAATACTTGATTCCTTGCAATTTTCAAGGCAATAAAAACATTTAATAAATCCTTTCTTTGGTAAAATCTAACGAAATTTAAAACATGTGTTAAATGAGTACGCATTGACAATAAGAAGGGGTTTCATATATTAAGCAAACTAGGCCTGGAGAAAGGGGAAGACGGCTTATTCTGGGACTTTAAGCCCCCTTGGATTTGGATAACCTACTTTTGAGCGGTTTTATTATCTTAAGCAGAGATGTTTTTTAAAGTTAAAGTTTTGCCGACGATCTAGTCGTGTAAAATCTAGAGCTGACACGTTAGATGTATACTTAGGTAATATGATATCTGGCAATGGCAGAGAGTTTTTTTTAAGCTTCCCAAATTTACACTAATGCCCACATCATTAATTTGTTGTTTGATGCATATGCGGACTTTAGCAGACTAAACTAACTTTTTCTGTGTCGCAAAGTAAATTATTAAGGAAACGTAAATTTAAACGGTAAAGATCAAAATTATCTTACATTAACAGTTTTTTACTTAAGTGGTAGAATTATGAGTTTTGAAGACTATAAAACACTAAAAGTTGGAAATAGTCGATGTTAAAGTGGAAACCCTCTATTTTATTCTTTCTACTATCTAACTTAGCAAGACTAGGCCTCCTTTGAGACCCATGCCCTGACTATTTGTCTGCCAGCTATATCAATTATAACTGCTATTAGATAGACCTGAGCACAAGAAAATTTTTTACTTATACATTGACTTTAATTTTACTGGAACTCCAACCTACTCCTGTTAAATATACAATTATAAACTTTAGTAATAATAAAAAAATGAGATCAACTGCAGCTCACACGTACATAATAACTCAAGTGTAAGTATTACTATTTAAATCCAAACTTATTATAGCCCTCCCTACCGTAAGTATGGGATCTGGCAGCCCTATCTTCACTTTCAGTGTGCTCAGCAGTGGATAGGAAAGTGATGATTACCGTATTAGGGAAGTAACGATATTACCCCGAATGTAATGGATGTTAAAATCTGGTAATGAAAAACTAAACACCACGTCTTAAATAGTTTATTAAAAAAGGGAGAATCTAAAGTTAACTAGCTTGTTGAAATTTTTTGGGATAATTCTATGTTTTTAGGAAAGAACATGCTTACTTAAACCATAACCATAAATCTCGCTTAAACAAAAAATTATACCGTTTTAGTTTTGTTTATTTGGTTATATTTTTTAAGTTTACAGCTTTAGGTTTATTAATTGTAACATCAATCCTAGTGTCTATGATTCAGTATAATAATTAAACTTTTTTACTAATAGATGTATATATTAAGTCATGCCCAGTGATTTACCTGTGCACAAAGCTGCTTACAACGTAAGTTTTAGTTTTTTATAAACAAAAATTATTTTAATCAGTATATTAAATATTTTTAAACATTAAAATATTTATTACTGTCGAGTAGGGAAATCTTTCCGATTTAAAAGAAGCCTTTAAAGATTTAAAAAAGGAAAATAAGTTTGATCCTGATGTTCCGGGTGCACAGCACAGAACACCGCTTATGCGGGCGTGTGGTTCTAGCAGTGATCCCAAGGACGTCATAAAATGTGCGGAATATTTGATCTCTCTTGGTATTATATTTTCCCTTCTTTAAATAAATTAGAGATAATAAACAATGTGACTTTACGCACACCCAATTTAAAAAAAATTTCCATTTATACTATGACAAAAAAATTATATAAATCTCTCCTATACTAATAAACACCTGAAACAATTTCTTTTAATCATAAAGCTAAAAGCTAAAATCTTTAAACGGGTTCAACGAGCGTAGAGTATAAAAGTTATTTTTAAAGTTAAATTAAAAGCAATTTTAGTAAGTAGACTTTAAGTTTTTTCTTTGTTAATTATTTAATTTCTATTACACTTTTAAAAACATCTTACTTTTTTAATAACTCCTTAAATGCTTAGGCGCTAACGTTAATGCAGCAGATGATGCGCGGCGTAATTGTTTGCACTGGGCTATTTTGGGTATACTTATCACTCTCCAGTTAATTTAAATTTTTTAAAAACACGAAAAAGGAAATAATAGGTATATTGTAGATTTTCTGATGAAGCAAAACATCGACATCAACCAGCAGACCTCTTCCGGTACCCTTAGCAATCATAGATTTTTTGCGCACAGCGCCATGTTACGCTTCGTGCTGCACCGTAGGCGCCTCTCCGCTGCATTTGGCAGTCAAGGCCGGAAATGCGGAGATGGTTAGTGCCTTGATGACGTTCGGCAGCGATAAATCTCTCTTGTGGGAGGGTAAGACAGCCGGGAGGTTGGCTTTAGAGCTGAATCACCACAAAATTGCGAATATGCTGGGCGAGAAAAAGAAGTCTTCGAAGTGCATTTTACTATAAACAAGCTAATTATAGAAATCTTACCTCCTCTAAAAGTTGCGAAATCTTTACGAACACTATAATTTACAAATGAAGCTAAACAAAAATTTGGTCAGTTTTCATTGAAATATAAAATGCTTTTGGTATTTTAATGAAAGTTAATAATAATAAAAAAAGGTAAATCGGTTAAATAAAAATAAATTTAAGTTTTAACGAGTATTAATGTTAACGCGTGAAAAGTTAAGTAAAGTAAGTTTGACATACTGTGAGGCTTTGTATTTCTAATGGTTGGCAGAAACTATTTAGTAACGGAGCAAAGCGGATGCTCGTCTCAAATAAATTATACTAAAATTATAGTGCTGCAATGCCGCATATTTGACGTTTTTAGTAGTTATTATAACACCCATATCGTGGAATATCATTAAGAAAAGGAGTGTTTATAAAATGTACGCTAAAAAAAAGAGAAAACTAAATTCTCTACAAGTAAAACTCAACTAAATTAAAAATTGTTATAAAGCTTAAGGGTTTATAGTTCTACCTACTAAATAAACGCAATATAGCAGACATTAATAAAAAAAAAGTGCGCTTTGGTGCCTTTTTTTTATTAGTGCAGTAATTCACAGACGCAACGGCGATTTCTCGATTAGTGTTATATCGAGCGTATGATTGGAAGAGTTCTATAAGAAAATAAATTAAGTGTAATGAAGAAGCTACTAAAGCTGCAAAATAGTAAAGGCAATGCACTTTCTTAATTCTAACAGATTCTATCAATATTATGATTTTTCGAAAACAAAGTGAAGATGTCTAATTTCTAAAGTAATTCCCTATAAAACCAGAATGTTTGTGAGCCAACCAAGATTACTACCACAATCCACCACAATAGCATTGCCAAAGTCCTACTATTTATGATTAATACTGGCGTTGCTAACTTTATTATAATAAAATCTCATGGTTGCAAACATTCTGGTCTCAGCTAGAGCCAATGGGGTTTTAATAAGCAACTATAGTAGGATATGGGGCATGAAAAGACACCACCGACATTGCTTACTTATAAAATCATTATTAACAAAAAAAAGTAATCTTGCGAGGTGCCAATATTTGAATATTAGTAACCTCTATACTTAAAATCTAACCGAAAACGAATGTCGCGCTAAAGTAGTCTTAAATTAATAGCAACTTACAAAAGTAAACATAAACTTCCTGACAAGATCTCCAGAGTAGCCAAGTTGATCACGTGATTGCTCAGTCTTACAAACAACATTTCTAAACAGAATAAACATATCTAATTAGTTAAAATATACCAAATTCAACAGTTTCATAGTAACAAATTCAAGAGGGAGGACTTGATGGGCGTGCAGGAAAAACAGTTGTCGGATGATGGCTTCGTACGTCTGCTGGTCAACTTCTTTATTTATAAATGAGCGCAGCGAGAGCAGAAATTCAGATTCAAATCGCGCACTACTTGCCGTCAGGTGCGACTCGTCACCTAACAAAATTTCTTCGGGATACTTCTCTTTATCGAAAAACTCTTTCGCAAATTTTAAGCGCTCGTATAAAATCTTTATAGAAATATTAAAAATATTTAAATCAAGAACACAGTTAGCACCTGAAAATAACGAAAAAACAAATAAAAGGTTTCTGTCTCATAAAAAGTTGTCAGCGGCGATTCAGTATTTTTTTTTGTTGGAGAATTAAACCCCAATAATTCTATAAATTGTGCATCTACAAAATCTGGTAGTCGCTTACAATTATCAAATTTATTGTGAAGGTTATTATTATTATTACAACTTTCTAAATAATTATTTAAAGTGGTATAATCCTTTAAAAGAAAAGAATCGTCGCCTTTGTGGGTTTTGCTTACTACCAACTGTAGCAGCCTCATGCAATGTGCAAATATTTCAGAGTTATTAAAAGACATGCGAAAGTGAGGCTGCAAACAAGTTGACTGCTTGTCAGTCAAACGCTCAAAAAGGAGACAATCGCACTCAAAAAGTAGTTGTGCTGAAGAAAACTTTGTTTCAAGTGTTTCCTGAAATAAATTTATATAGAAATAAATAAAAATAAGTAAAAAAATTTGTAATATCCGCTTATTCATAAAAATATATACATAAGTTGTATATAATGTATTTAACTTTGACTATTATAAACTGGTGGTCTCGAGAGCGATAATAATTTTCATTATCGACTTTTCGCCATGCTTTAACATATGAAATTCGATGCCTTTCCCATTCGCTTTGCTGCATTAAACAAATATTATTAACTTTTCCCAGCAGTATTATTATTATTATCATTATTACTAAACAGTAAAGAAAGCCGAAGGTGACAAAAAGACGTACAGCAAAACAAAGTCGTTTAATAACGAGTTCTACAGCTATAAGAGGACTTTCTATAATTTTTTCGATAACTTTTAGGGCATTGACGCCGTACAAACGCTTCAGCGCCTAAAACGAAAAACAAAACATTTACATTACATACAAAACTATAAAAGATTATAAAACTTTTTAATAGTAATAGGAATAAACTTTTTTAATACCAGCAATAAGAATATAATAATGAAGCCTAAAAAAAATAATACAACCTGTAAATATAAAAAGTACGAGTTTTTTTTAGATGTCAATTCAAGTAATAAACTTTTAGCCTTTTCTTTGTTCGTTCCTTTTAAAGTTTTCAGTATTTTTTCAAAAAAATTAATTGTTTTTTGGTTGGCGGAAAAAACTGCCAATGGTGAGCATATGTTAAGGTAAGCGAATAAAACTAAAAATAAGGTAAACTTTATAAGTTGATAACTATAAAATAGTATTAATTAAAAACCACAAAAAGTTTAGTTTCATAAACTATTTGAAGGTTCTAATATTTATATATATAATAAAAAAGAAAAAGAAAAGTGATTAAAAAAACGTAAAAAACTTAGTAGCCTTAAAAATATAAAAAGTATATATAATATTATTGCAAAATTTTAATAGCTATAACATAGTAATAATATATACCGCTTAGTCAATGTATAGAATATTTAATGCTCATTATTTAAAAAAACTACAAGTTCGTCCACAAACGTAAATAATATTTTTGATAAAAATGATTTTTATAATATAAATATAAAAGTGCGACTAACGAGGAAACAAAACATTTTAGTAGACTTTTTAAGTGATATTGAAAAGTAAAAAACTTTCTTTTTATAAATTTGAATATAATAAGTAGCAAAAAAAAAAGGGACTTGCCCATATCAAATTCGTAACGTTCATCCTCACAATCAAAAAGACTTTCTTCATATTGATTTTTCTTATGAGCTATAAAAGATTCGTCTTTCTAGTAATTATTATTATTATTATTATTATTATTATTATTATTATATAATTAAAAACCAAATAATAAAATTATGCAGTAAGCGGTAATTTTTGTTGGTCCTTTATATCCGTGTCGGAAATATAAAAATAAAATCCCAGATAAATAATTAAATTATTAAACTATTTATTAAATAATAATTATAATTTAAATATACACTAGAATTCTAGAAAGTGTTTCCGTCTGCCTAGTAAGTTATTATTACTATAATATAATTACAGACCAAATTAGGTTTAACTTTAGTAGCAAAAAATATATTTAATATGCTATATATATAAAAAAAAAGTTGTAAGTGAATTAAAGATTTATAATTAAAAAACTTTTCCTTATATTTTACTAATAAAAGTTTTAAGAAAAAGTAATTTAATCTCAATTTATTATGATTTTTTTTTAATTTACTTTAAATAATAATTATAAAATTCCAGTAAAAAAATAAGAAAGCATATTTATATTATGTTTTTTATATTTCTATATAAATTGAAAATAAAATTAAGTAACGTTTTAAATATTAAATAATGTTTCCAGATTAATATTATAATTCCTATCAATTAGTTTTGATAATAATTAATAGATAATAAGATTATAATAATAAAAAAGAAAACTTCAGAGCTGAAGGATGAACACTCCCACTCTTGATTCAAAACTGATCTATCAAGTTCGGTTTGACCAGTGCATTTTCTCTTAGAAGCTTCCTGAAAAGTTATTAAAAATTAGATCAGATGTTCTAGAAACTCACTTTTAATTTAACTAAATTTATTAAAGATTTATTACTATCTGAAATTATTAAAAAGTTTAACAAATTTTTTATATGCTCCTTTAAACTAAATAGTACTTTTTTAAATAAATATATGAATTTCTTTGTTCTTTTATAACTAAACAACATTCTTATTACATGTTGAAGTTTAGAATAAAAAAAAAACTAAACTTTTATTTGAATGTTCTAATATTAATAAAGTAAAATAAATTATTCAAGTCAAAATAAATTACCAAAGTTATAATTTTATATGAGCCAAGTCTTTCTTTATCACTTAGATAAGAACTTTTTTCAGTTGAGCAGAAAAGATCTTCAACAAGCTGAATGTAATATGAAAACTCTTCGTAGAAAGAAGGGCTTTGTGTGTAGAAAAAATCTTTTGTAATTTGTATAAATTCTTTTTTGGTAATAAGTTTCAACTCAAAAAAACTCAAGCATTTGATAAAATTCTGAAAAACCTTAAAAAAAGAAAATGTCAGAAATTATAACAAAGCAAAGAAGTTTAATTTTTCTTTGTTTATTAAAATTTTATTGGTTTTCACTATAACAAAACTGTAGGAAGAATTACCAAAGGATCTTTAATAGAAACTTTTAACTTTTCAAACAACAGTTTTTCAAAAACTGATTTATTCATTATCTTACAGTAATTCTTTTGTGTAGAATCTTCCGTAAAAGATCTTTAGAAAAGGAGCTATCAAAATTAAATGATAAAACTTTTAGTTAAAAACCTTTTTAAACAGGAAACATCAACATCTGTAGAGATAAATTAATAAAATGAACTAAGTGCATCCTAAATTTTAACTTTAGGCGTTACCCCCATTTAATTCAGAGTGGAGATATAAATTCCATAAATTAACTAAAGAAGGATCATCTTGGAGAAGCGCTGATATCTAAAAAATAAATTTATAAAGGAAGAAGAGAAAAAAAGTATAAACAAAGTTTTTGATACTTTTTCGCTTGCACTATACGAAGATAACTGGTCGACTGAAAACGTGCTTAAGCTTTTTATAAATCTTCTGTAGTTAAACGAGTCGGAGTTCTTAATAAAAAAAAGAAGGCCAGACGATAAGCAATAAAGTGAGCTCATAATACTACTAAATATAAATATACAAGAATATTTCTAAGTAATTTATAGCCTTCGTAAATTTCATTGGAAATGTTAGTTAGCAATTGCGGCTCAACTTCGGTGGAACTCACATGCGAAGTCTTTAATAAGTAACGCACATTCTCCATTAATAACTTTTATGCAACAAGCGAAACCTCCGAAAGAAAAGAAGCTGGGCAAAACCTGCTAAACTCGCTAATATACAACTTTTTCTTTCCACGTGGCCTTGCCGCACGTGGAAAACCATACCGTTTACTAGGCGCTATCCTACTGGCTTTCATGATAATATATTTCATCTTTTAAAGACTAAAGAAATTAATTTAAAAAAAATTTTAAATTAAATTTCTAACTTTTCAAACTTGTTTAAATTTCCAAGTAGTGCACTAATAGTAAAACTTATTTTGCTTAACTTCTTAAGGTTAGATTTCCGAGTTACAAAGTTATAAACCACAATAAATGAATACAATTTGTAATTCGAAAAAAAATTTAAAAAAAAATATTGTGAGAAATCGCCAACCTTTCACTTGAAAAGTTATACAAGTTTTCCTTTGGATTATTAATTATTTTATCTCGTGTATAACAAAAAATATTATTTTTAATTTATATAGAATTCTTATGTAGACACTAAAATAAATAATAAAAACCTTCATAACTTTTATAAAAAAAGTGGTATTAAAACTTCCAAACAGAAATACTTTATTATAAATTAAAAATTTAAATTTTGTTAGTTTCAAGGAGTAACTCTTTTTGGATCTCGGGGAAAAAGTGAAGTTTTCCGAATATTGTTTAAACCTAGAAAGAAATAATAGTAATAAAAAAAGGTTAAAAAAATTAGTTTAAAAATAAAATAGTTAAGTTTTTTAAAAAAACTATATTTTAGCTACGTTTTATTTTTTATGATTTCTAAAAAAAATTTAAATATTTTTTATTATTATAAAATGTTCAAAGTTTTTCTAATTATAATAAAAAAGTATATAAGAAAATTAATAATAACTTTAATTTAAAGTAAAAAAATATTTATCAGCCTACTAAAATTTATTATAGATTCTTTAAAAATATTTATCCAAGTTAAAACTGAATTTACAAGATTTTTATAAATAAAAATAATATATAGAAAAGAATAAATAAATTTTATTTCAAAGAAATCAAAAGTAAAACAAAAAGTTTATTGAAATCATAATTAACACCATAATAATAATAATAAATAAATAAATAAATTATTAAATAAATAATAATAAACCCAAATAAAGCATCAAAACTCTTTCAAGGCCAATTCCGCCGCCGCCATGAGGAGGGCAGCCGTACTTAAATGAGTCTATATAACTATTAATTTTTGAAATATCTATATAATAAAAATAAAAATTAAAAAAAATTATATATAAAAGTTATCCTGATCAAAAAAAGTTAAAAACATATCTATAAAAAATAAATATAAAAGAAAAAATATATATAAAAATATAATTCAAAAAATAAAGGTAACTACCCTTCTTACTATTATTAGTATATATAAGTTTAGCCTATTATTAACCCAAAATATATAACTAATATTCATTATCATAAATAATACACTAATAAAAACTGTGCGAAAGTAATTGAAGGGCTGCGATTAGCCAGCTATACGGCGCATGGACAACTACACATATTTACAACCAAAAAGTTGGGAGGAAGCTTTAAAGAAAGTTTACTGCATAATTACTGGCTAATAGGGATTTTATAAAGTTTTCTAATTTTTTTTTAATGAGGCACAAACATGTGATTTGTAAAAAAAATAATGGCCTTACATGTGCTAATTAGCTGGTATACTACACAAATCATATAGACTTGTGCGCTAGAAGGAAGCAAAGCATAGTCTCATTGGTTTACAGTACCAAGTGATAATTCTTCCTTAATGACCTCCTAATCTTCTTCAGTCCTCAAGCTAACCAAGCGGGCTGTTCTATTACCTTTATTATGACGATACCTATATATTGCTAGAATTTTCCCGAAATATAATATTGCGCTGTTCACACAAATACTTAAAAAGTTGTAACTCTTTCATATAAAAAGATAATATTTAGTGAAGCAACGGAAGGTTGGCTATGAAAATAGGGTAGTAATACCGACTTTATATAATATTATAATAAACAACAATAGTAAAAAAAAAAAGCCCAAAGTACGACAGTACGCACAAAAATAAGTTCAGCTTATTTCAAATAAATTTATCTACCAATCTCGTGAAGCTTAGCTCTTTCCGTTAGTAATTCGGAATCGTGGATTCGCTGCGCACCGGAAAGCACTTCTTCGCCTCGAATCATCATATCGTAGGAGTTGCCTAATAAAACAATAAATATAATGGATATAATAAATATAAATGGTAATAAATGGTAATAGTACTATATTTAGGATCGGTCGGGCAAGGCATCGTGTAAAAGGGACGGGCAGCGAGAGGGTACTTGTCAAGAATATAAAAATCCGTTTGATATTTATCTTTCACGAGTTTCCCTAAAATCTTAATAAAAAAATTAGAGAGAAAAAAGATGAAAATAAAAGTTGTGAATGTGAAAGTAACACTTTTTCATGAGCAGTTGATAAATCTGAAAAAGGGTCCATAGGGTATCCTGCTTCGTTCAGCATTTGAACTCCTGAAGAATAACAATAACAATAATAACAATAATAAATAATAATAATAATAAAAGCCTTCTGAAAAGTTCAAGATAAGAGGAGGATTGCGATACTTAAGAGGCTCAAAAGGGAATTGATAAGATATTATTTTCAACTCTTTTTCTATTACAATATAAAATTTTCTATATCATAACATCATAATAACTTTTTTTTACCGTTACGCTCTTCAAGGCCTCGAAATATACATATAAATAACTCTCCCAAAAGGTTAATAACCTTAACAATAGTAAAAAAAAAGGTTAATAGTAATAATAAAAAGTATACGAAATTCAATAAACAATAAAAAAAAATAATAATAAAAAAATACTTCGTGATAATGTTCTTTTATTTCCATTTCCAAGTCAAGTCCAGTAAATTCTAAATATTAACTAAAAATATAAAAATAAACAAAAAAAAAATGCGCGAGCCTGTCAAGTGGCGATGAGTATTAGAGTCTTCGGCTCGAAAAACTAATAAAAAGTAGTTATTATTATTAAAATTATGATTATTGCTATCATTGTTAGTGTTCACCACAAAAATTGGATGGAAGTAAATTTTATTTCTTAATAATAGGAGTATTTATAATCAAAGGTTCATACTTTTAACGCAATGCAATAAAAGTTTAGTATTCACTTAAAAAAAAAGCGGTCTCACCTGGACCTATTTCAAAAACTCTCTCAAAGTCTGCACAAATGGCCATCTGCTTATAAAGCTGGGGGGACTGCGCTAGAAAGGCGCTACCTAGTAATAATAATTACTTAATAATAATAAGTATTAATATTAATATATAATAAAATTGATATTAACTTAAATAAAACATAAATAATAATAATTATAGGAAATGCGAAACCTTTGAAATAATCCAACTTGAAAACATTGGCGCCTCCTTCAGAAGCAGAGCTAATAATTTTAGGAGAATGAATTTCAGTAAATCCTTTGCTAAGAAGAAACCTTAAAAAGGGGGAGAAATTTAAAAATAAAAGTTATGGAAAAAAGTTATGTTTACAAAATTTTTTCTTTAAGTTATAAGCTCCTAATCATAGTTTATTTAAAAGATTAATTTTATTCAGCTTTAAGTTATTTATTATAATATTTAATATCATTGGAAAGTTTTACAAATTTATTTATAAAAAGTTAACATTTTATGAAGAAGTACAAAAAGTTATTATAATAATATTTTAATGCCCATATAAGTTTTGGTGAATAAGTTTATATCTTTGAGAAAAAAGGCATCAAGTAATATTATGATAGCATTAAAAAATTTTTAAAAGTATTTTTATAAAAATTGGATTTTTACAAAAAAAAGTATTGAAAGTTATAATGGTAAGGTTGTAATATCATCATAAGTTTTTATCAATACTTTATGAAAAAAATTCATTTTCTACATAAAATTATTAAAATACAACATAATATTGTAAAGTTAATATAAATTTCTAATAAGAAATTATTGCATAAAAGTATTATAGTTGTTCATATAATAAAAAATTTATATATAAAAATCATTACTAGGTTTATATTAAAATGTATATTATAATAAAAGGTAAAAATTTAATTATTGGATAATATTTATCCAACCCCGTGCTATAAGAAAAACCAAAATATACAAGCTTGAGTGACAAGAAATCTTGAAGATAAAAGGTACATGATAAAAGAAAACTATAAAAATACACTAAATATGAAGTAATATAATTTACTGTACTCTCTAAAAAGAGTGCAAACAGAACTTTGAAGTCTGAATATAGCCAAGTTTGTTGGGGTGCGCAAGTCAATAATACGATTGTCCAAACGAACGTCCTGGTGTATCGGGTGGTAGAAGGGCTGCTCTTCTATCATAAGGAAATGTGGAAAGCAAAATAATAATAGAAGAGTGGCTAGACCGTATGGGCGGCCCCACATTAACGATAAAAAGTATATAAGAGGGCTTACAGGAAAAGTTAAAAGTTAAAAATAAAAAAAGTATATAAGATAAATTTTATTCTATATTAAAAGTTTACTTCATATATATTTAACTGAAAATTTAGTTACTTATTATTTTTTTTTAAACCTACAAAAAATGTTATGACACTATTGTCTATAAGAAACGAGTATGTTTGCGTACTAAAATTCTTTTTAAAAAAAAATAGATTTCAGTATAAATAAAAAAATATTATTAACTAACAGCAGCCAATCAATTATATTAACTTTTATGAGTAAATTTTTTTAAATGTTATAAAAAGCATAAATATTATCCACGAATCAGATGTTGTTTTAAAGCAATGGACAAATGACTTCTTAAAAATTTTTACCATCAAACTTTGTTACAGTAATCCGCATAAACTTTATATAATATTTACAGTAGAAATGAATATCACTATTACACAAGAACTTTTTGATAAGTATTTATTAGTTTCTGTTCATTATAATAATTCCGCCTTTCTGGATGCGCCATTGCTCCAAGCTTTTAAAGTGGCTAATAGAATTACAACACGTTATTACTTAATTATTCATTGCATTTCATATTTATGCGCTCACAAATTACAGTGAACAGAAGCTACATATTATTTTTATAAAATATTTAATTATTAATTGTTAGTATATTATGTAATAAAACAAAGTTTATGCTGATTACTGTAGCAAAATTTTCTTTTTTAGGTTTTTTCAATGAAAAAAAATGAAATATTAAATAAAAAGGGAATGTTGTAAGATTATTGGCCACGTAAAAAAGGCTTAGACCAATGATATACTCTTAAAAAAGCTTATAAGCCAATAAAAGGCTTTACATTAATATAAAATATAAAGCGCGCAACAATGCACAAGAGCAGGCAAAACAAATAGTAACAAAAGCGCACAAATAAATGGAAATATCTTCCGGACTGAGTAATCTTTCGCATATACTGGTGCAAATATTACCTAATTTGGCATTTGAGACGGAAGCATCTTCAACAGAAAAGGGAGGAGTGATCGACCTGCTAAGTACAAATACTTTTCTGGCCTTCAGCTCCACACTGTTAACAGTGGTGTCCTCAACGAATTGCGAAAGACCTACAACTTCAGCTTCAATGCTTAGCAAAGTTTCTCGAGGAAGCCTTGAAAATTAAATAATTTTATATAAAAAAACAAACTGGTCTATAAAAATCCACAAGTAAAAAAAATAAAGAAAATTCCAAAATAATATAAAGTAAATAAAGAAGTACTTAATAGAAATTATTAATTTAATAATTGTTAGCAAATTTCTCTAATGCGCTTTAACTTTAACTAAGTAATAATAATTATTAATGATTTCAAATTATTTTTAAAGAAACTTTATAGATTTTTGTTTCTCACTAAGTAAATGAACTTTTTTATTGCCTATAAAAGTAATGACCGCAAAGTTGCTTGAAACCTTAAAATAAAAAAAAACTCAAACTTCAAATTATATAAGTAAAAAATTTGTTTCCAATAAAAGTATGATCCTAAATTTAACTTTTTTTAACTTCATAATTATACAGTGAGATCATATCACTAAAAACAAGTCAGCAATAAACAAACTTGGTTAAATTTATTCATCACATTAAAAATAAAAAGAAAAGAAAATTTCTTAGAAGTCTTCCAAAAAGTCAACTTTTTATATAAATATGACCTTAAAAAAATTTTTATTTCAAAATTCTTATAAAAAAGAGATTTTTTAATAAATATAAATACTGCTAAAGTAATTTCTAAAGCAAATGAATAGTATAACTTTTATAAATTTTAAATCTAAAAAGGTGTTTTATAGGGAAATAAAAGTAAAAAAAATGTTAATACGCGGAGCAAAAGGATACCATAGCCGGACTCACTTCGCTACTCACGCCTAAAGAAATATTTATTACTCTAGACTTAAAGGAAAGAATCTTCAAAAAATAAAACTATAAATTTTTCCAATAAAATTTATATTGATTAGAAAATTAAAGAAAATTATGAACCAAAAAGATCTAATTGAGGTTTATTTTTAAAATTATCTTTGTAAACTAGTAATAATATTGAAAAAAATTAAATTAATTGTTTACTCATTTTTTATTACTTTTTATTAAAAAATTTAAACAGATATATTTAAAGTATAACCAAAATATACTTAACGAAAAAATTAACTCAACAAGGGAGAGATTATGAGTAAACATCATAATTAACGGCTGACAAGTAATTAAGAACTTTTTATTCAGTATATTATTGATATTATATAACTTAAGTATTTTAGATATGCTTTTTAATAATCTTTATTAGATTTCTAAAACTTTGATAAACTCAATAACAAATTACAATAAAAAGTTTTGTGAATTATAACAAAAAGTAGTACAAAATTAAAGTAATGTAGGTTATAAAAATTAAAAAAAATAAATTGTGTACCGACAAAAAGTTGAATAGTCTCAAACTTTTGCCTTAGAATAATAAAACATTGTTTTCCGGATGCACGAGATTTATGTATCCGGGCACGAAGATGGATAGTCTTCCCAACGTGGTTGTGAACTTCATCAATATAAACTAAACTCAATCCTACGAAGTAATTAACACTAATTCATATATATAAAAAGGATAAAACCTAAATCTTTAACTTCTTTACAAAATGGCTCCATTCCATAACGATCTTTAGAATAATCCTAATAAGGGAATAATTTAAAAAAAATTTAAATTATGTAAAAAAAGAGTTCTGTTTATAAGTTTGATAGTTAAAACTATAATATTCGATAATAATATAATATTCGAAGTTTATTATTAAAACATTAGCAAACTCTTGTTCCTTTTTAATTTCGAGTTCTGCAAGCTTTTTAGCTTTTGCAGCAGATTCAAGTTGCTGGCGCTTTAATTTTCTTATCTCTTTCTGGCTTGGGCCAGACTTTGCTTCTGCACTAGTTTAAAAAAAATAAACTTTATAAAATATATATTTATACAATAATTATAATACTTCTTTTTATCTTTAGAAGAAGAGGAGTCAGAATTTTTAAATTCATGACCAGCTTTTTCTTTATATTGTTGCTTTAAGGATAGTAATATTCTGACATTATCATCAATAACCTCTGAATAATTTAAAGTTTTTTTAAATACACTATTAACTATCATAATAAGTATACTAATAATATATTCTATAAATAAATTAAACCAGAAAAATAATTAATTTATATAATAATTCTAATTTACGACTACTATTTTCAAAACATTTAGTTTAAAAATAAAAAACAAAAAACAATACGTTTACTAGCATTCTCCAACTTTAGAGTTCTTATTTCATTTCCTAAAGATTTTATATTAAGCTCTAATTCCTCAAGTCTCATCTTTGAATTGAACAATAAAAACAAAAAATCCACAGCTTAAATATTTAAGAAATAAGAATGCCTCGTGAATTACAAATTAGCCAATAACCGCATTGCTTCCTTAAAATTTAAAAAGGAAGTACTAGGCAATTTTTTTTTTGTTATAATGCCGAACATTGAAAGTAAAGCTGAAACTTACAAAGAATATATAAACGAATTAGTGCAAAAGCCTTTAACTTTGAGTGAGGTTTATCTTTACTAGTAATTAGCTTTTTATAAATTTCCTTACATTGTTTTTTGTTATATAAAGCTAACTTAACTATTATTAAAGTCCAATTTTAAATTAAATTTGATTCAGGAAAGGTTTCTTAGAGATAGATTGAGAGAATACGCTCAGCATCTTTGTACAGAAAAGTTTATTGCTTTTAATGATTGTATTAATAACAATAAGTTATCCGGCGGGCTAAGATGCAAATCTCTCTATTTTGACTTAACGGAATGTTTAGCAGCTTAGTATGTTACGTATTCATATGTGAATATTATAATTTATAATTAATATATTAACAATAATTTTGTTATAAGTTAATAAATATTTTTATAATTATTTAATTTCGAGCTTTTGAGTAAGTTTTTATAACTAATTAACTATTCAAAGTAAATAAAGTAAATTGGAAATAGATTTAGGTTTTTAAGCGTGTATTTTAGTTAATTTCTTATATAAATAATCTTAAAAGTTGTAAAGTAAACGTTTACATTGCTACAATTTCAATTTTTGGTACAATATCAAAAGAGGAAACAAATTTATATATTATAACAGGAAGAAATGTTAGCGCTCTTGATACTCGCTTTTTTAGTAGTAATAAAGTTTGAAATTAGTAATAACATTTTATATAAAAGATAGTTTTTTAAATAATTTAATTTATAGTAGGTTTATTATATTATTGATTATTTAAATTATTATAGTGCCACGGAAGATATATTTCAGCAGTATGTCGAAAACTACAGGTTGCTACTGGCTCTTTTTCCAGTTATCTTGTTTTTGTTAAAAATTTATTAATATATTGTTAAATTTTTTTTTTACTTTTTCTTTGTAGTTATACCTTTATATGACTTTAACTACTTCTTTGCCACTATCAAATGTAATCTACTGAACTTACAGAGTTTAAGCTTCTTTGTTAAACATTAGTTTTTTTAAGAAAATAATTTTTCTCTGTTATAAGGCGTACGGAGCGTCCTAAAATCATTTTGGACAACTGGCTTAAATCTGAAGAAGAACGAAGAGAAAAAAACACCTCTTGATTTTATTGAATAAGTTGGAAAATAAATATTTACATTAGTGAAGAACACTAATCCTTCTAGCTTTATGATACTAGTAAAGTTTGTGTTATTCTTGATAGAGTTATGAGAAACTACTAAGCAGAAGTGAAAATTTATTATTTTTCTTGTTCTTTTGCCTTTACGATATATTTTTGTAGAAAAAACGTTTAATAAGTATATAATAAAGAATTAATATGGTCTTGAAATTATTTATAGAAAGAAAATATATTTGTTTATTGCGTCAATAAATACGGACTTCTACTTTTTTTGGTAGAAGTTTAACGATAATATAATATTTTTGAATGTTAGGCTCCACTTGAGAAATATTTTAATATATAAGTCTTTTAAAAATTTTTAACATTTACTAAACTTTGGATGACGAGATTTTTCTTGTAGTATAAAGTTTTGCCTGTTTACGTATAAATTACACCTCAGAATGAGCAGCGCCGAATGAGCATATGATAAACTTTTATTAAAGTTAAGAGTCAGCTACAAAGTATGTATATACCTATAAGTACTAGCTTTAAAAGGAGGTCCTCACAGTACATTAGCAAGAAAATTAAAGACATTTTATTTATTAAAAGTTTTATTTAACTTGTTTATGCTTATAGTATATATATTTTTTGAATAATTATTCTTATTTAAAAAAAATATTTCACTCAAAAATTTATTGAGTTTTAAAGATTTTTCTTTTAGCCATATCTGCCAATTGTGTATGGCGCAAATTAACAAAAAAGCAGAAATTGTTAGTTTGGATATTCCTCAACTGACTAATATCATAAATTTATTCAAACAAAAGTTTATTATTTTAAGTTTTAGAGTTTTTTTTGAAGATATACCGGTCATTGTGTATGGCACCACCTGGAAAAAGCTAAAAAAAAAATTTATTGTACTTTTCAAACGGCTATTATTACTTTGAGGGATTCACTTAAACCAATTTTATTTAAGTTGTTGGCGAATGTCTAAAGGAATTAGTTTTTAGAAACTTTTTTATTAAGCCAGTAAAAAGTTTTCAATCCATACATTTACCTAGATTCCTAAACAAATAAAAATTTATAAGCAACTTTTTTTCCTCTTCTTTCTAATAAAGGCATCAGATCGTTTACACTTTTTACATTTGCACTAATGCCTTAAGAAATAAAGATTTAGCAACCCTCATTCCCCTCTCCCCCCTTAAGAAAGTTTTGATGTTTACTTTTTAAAACACTTTTTAGCCTAATGATTTCCGCAATTAACAAAGTGGGCCCCCAAAGGCTTTTTATATATACTTATAGAGAAAATTGTGTTTTTTTAATTTATAAAGATTCATTAAAAATAAACTTAGGCAAATTATTTTTATATTTTCACTTTATACCTTTTTTAAAAAATTATTAGAATAGTAAAACTTCTCTCAATTTAATACAAACAGTTTTTAAGTAATAATACCGCCAACAGAAAAGGTAAAAATAAAGAACACGGGTGTTGTTTTATTGTAGGCAATTAAGGTTTGTATTAATAACTTTACCCAGGTTAGGAAGAGTTTCCATTTATGTTTTTATAAACGTTTATCGGTTCCGTTCAAAAGATGTGCAGGGTTAACGAATTACCATATTTGTAGTAATTAATATTAAGTTTTTGTAGCGCCCCTGCCAAAATGTTTGAAATTGTGTTTATATTAAAACATTAGTTTATGTTCTTAATTGATTTCTAATTACTGTTTCTGTGTGTTTGCTTTTGTTTAGTAAATGTGTAGGTTGTTTACTTATATTTTATAATTTTACGCTTTTATCTAAGGAAAAATCGTTAAAAATTTATTCTTAACAAACTTATTCCTTATGAAGCTCTTTACTAAATCTTCACCATAAACAATTACTTTAGGGCTACTTGTAAAGTTCGAGTTATATTTTGATCAAAAAATTTATTTTGCACATAAGAGTGAATACATTTCGATATATTTAAATTACTTTGAGCATCTCTAACAGATTGATTTTTAAAAGTTATTTATTTTAACTAGAGATTTCTCAATTAAAAAGAACATAATCTGTTTATAGTTAGAAAATAAATTTAGCTGATGAGAAAAATATTTTTATAAAAGCTTTATTGGCCTCCTTCGGTTATACTATAAACTTATTGTTGAAGCTGATCTAAAGAGAGAGAATAAATCTATTATAAATAATAAAAACAAATAATAACTAGCCAATGACTAAACGATAAAAAGTTTTATAATAAGAAATATTTGTATTCAAGTAAAAAGATTATATTTGTTCTCAAAAAAAAAAAATATTTTTATAAATTTTAACAATGAGAACATCCATAAATTTTAAAACCGAAAATTCTATTACTAATCAAGTCAAGATAAAAAAAAATAATAGATTTTTAATAAATACAATAGAATATATTTAGAAATTTATATAATTTTTTTTTACCTTTGATATATAACAAAACAGCTTAACGTTGTTTACTAATCATTATTACTTTGACACTTGTATTTCTAAAATATATTTTTTTATTATAACCAAAAAGTTGATGTAAAAAATATTACAAATGAGAAATAAAAAAAGTCATTAAGTAAAATTTTATAAAGTCTTCGTGTAAAATAATTATAACAAAAAAGAATTTAATGAAAAGATAATAAAATACTCTTTTTTATATAATAATAGTTAAAAGCATCTATAAATAAATAACTTCAATATTTACGTGTACGTAATAATATTATTATACTATTTAAATAGAAAAAATATTATAATCATGAAGTTCTGAAAAAAAAAGTATTAAAAAACAAATAATAAAAGTATTAATATTTTAATTAGTATAATAATAGTAATCTTTTTAATAATTTTTATATAAAAATTTATAATTCATTATTATCAAAGTAAAGTATAATTAAATAAATAATAATACTTGATACTCTTAGTATAAAATCATAAAGAGAGTAAAATAATAATAAAGCATATAAACCAAAATATAATAAAAAATAAATATAAAATAAATTTTATACTTAAATAAATAATAATTTTAGATATAAGGGCGAAAAATATATATTTTTTCATAAAAGTTAGTACTATTCTTTTAATTGTTTGTATCTGTTTTATTTTTCTTTTATAATAATTATACAAAAATATTTATTAATAAATAATTATAATCATTAAGGTCTGATAAAAAGTAAGTATACATATTCGATCTTTATATAAATATAAAATTATATAATAATTATAAATAATAGTTATTAAGCCTATAAAAAATGCTGGTCATCCTCTTTATAATAAACAAAGACAACAAGGGCGGACAGAAAGGGCGGGGGTTTTCAAGCACAAAGGCAGTAGAATACGATTGGATACCGCTGCAGCAAACATGAATTTCTGTGATTGTGTAGTGAATTATACATATAGAAAGTATTTAATTGCGTATTAAATTAGTGAGAGAAATTCGATCCCAACTGCTTATTGGCTAACTTTGTTGGTTAAACGGTTGTGCCATGGATGTTGCGTGTGCGAAACAGGAAAATAATGAGGTGGTGCTAAGGTAACGCTAAATTTTTTTATTATATTATATATTTTTTTAAAGGAATTGATAAGCAATTTTATTAAACACATAAAACTTTGCCAACAGTCACATGAACCTTACAATAACAACCAATCAAATGACTTTATTAAAGTTGAATAAATTTTTAATGAATTTTTATTCTCAAGTGGAAAACTGCTTTAAAGGGTTTTCAATTAAACAATAACAAAAAGGCGCTGTTTCCTTATTTTAGACAAGAATAACAATTTTGATAAGAAAATGATTTCTGATAAAAAAATGCAGAAAAGAATTTTTTATATGAAGAGTTTGGAGTATAATAAATATTATAATTCTCGGTATAAATTTTATTATAAATACTAAAAAAGATAAATTATAAAATTACAGAGTACTTTTATAAAGAATAAAAAATATTTATATCTAAGTTACATTTCATAATAAAAAATAAGATAACTGATCCTTAAAAACAGAAAAAAGTATAAAAAATTAAAAATTACAAAATTTTAAATAAGTAAAATTTTATAAATAGTTGGAAGTAAAGAAAAATGATAACAGGATATTCTCTTCTAATAACGTTTATACTATTTACAAACCACTGTTAAACTATAGAAACTTAATATAAAAAGTCTAATATAAAAAAAAGTGGAAGAGATTTATTGTCACAAAAACATTTTGGAAGTAATTTTTAAAAGATTTTATTAAAAAATAGCAGAAAAATAATCGTTAAAAATTTATAAAAAGCACGTGGCTTGTACACCTGTACACACGAGCAACATGTGAACAAGACGATCACGTGATTCATCACGTGTTATAAATATTAATGTTATATTTACAGACTATCGTTTGTAAATTTATATTATTAAAAAAATATATTTTCTTTATTATTAAAAAAAATATTAGTTTAAAAAGTTAACCGTTAAAAAAATTATTTTACTTTATATTTCCTTCTATATTAATAACTGAATGCAATTTATATTCAAATGATCCTTTTATTTCGAAAACAATTGAACAAAAAAGTTTTATATTAATTCTTATATCTATTGAAAATAAATTGAATATTAAAGATAAATTATAAACTATAAAATGAACAAAAAAAGCATCACGATCAATAGTAAAAACTATTAAGAAATTTAAAATAAGTATAAAAAATTAATTACAAAATACTTAAAAATAAAATGTAAGTATTGATAATATATTAACAGCTAGAGAGTATTATAAAAAAAAGAAAATAGTAAAATATATTTTATGTTTGAGTTTCGACATTTTAATTATCTTTCTTAGTAGTGCGTTATGACCAACTCATAACACTGCTTCATCTTTATTAGCCTTTTAAGCTTTGACATTTTTGGTCAACAAACAAAATATGTAAAATATTAGTAAAGCAACTTTAAATAATGTTTATACAAATTATTTAATAAAAAAAGAATTATTGTTTATGAAAAAAAATTCATAAAGAAGTGAATAATAAATGATATTTAAAATTGTGGACAAAAATTTAAAAAAAAAGAAAAAAATTAAAGAATTTTTTTGAAAAATAAAAGAAAAAGTTAAAAATATTTTATAAAAATTTATAATTATTATCAGATGATAGGTAATAAATAATCTAGAAAATTTTTATACCATGATTATTAAGAAAAAATACTTCTTAATAAAATTATAAATAAGAAAAAATAAATAATCAAAAACGATAATAATCATAACATAATAAAAATTTTAAAATATGCAAAATTCGTCATTAATATAAAATTTATAAATCGATAAACAATTTATAATAAATAGAAAATTTTTTTATTAAAAGTAAAACAAAAAAATCTATATAAACACTATATTAATAAAAATATAAAGTTATGATATTTACAGTTTTACTTTTAATATATTTTTACTTATTTTGTATATTTATTTGGTATATCTAGTATTATTAATTACTTTATTTTTTTTTCGGGCTAAAGCGAAGGTTTATATTTATTTATTGAAAAGCTAAATTCATTCGTTATAAAGTATAATATTTAGCAATAAATTTGATTATAATATTAGAGAAATATTATTATATGAATACTTATATATAATTTTTATTAATTCGACATTAATAATAATATTTAAGAAATATATAACTTTTGGTAAACTAATAAAAAATGAAATTAAATAAATAATGGAAAAAAATATATAAAAAGTCAAGAAAATAAAAATAAAATTACATGATATTGTAATTTTATTATATTTATAAAAAATTTTAAAAATAGTTGAAAAATATTAAGTCAACAACAACATATATATAAATATTATAAATTGTGATCTTTTTATATATCTATAATAAATTAGCAATATTTAATAATACAGGAGTATAAAAATAAATATTCTACGACATTGTAAATTTTTTTGTATTAATACCAATTTACACTTCAATAATAAAAATTAAAAAAACATTTAGACAAGAAAATAATATTAAAAAATTTAATATAAATTTGTCTCAATATATTTTATTAAAAATTTTGAAAAAAAAAGGAAAAAAAAAATATTTATATATCAAAAATTATTTATATAAGAAATAATTTTTTTATATAATGATAAAAAAATAATAAAAAAATAAAATCTATTAAATTAAAAAGGCAATATTTATATAAAAATAAAAATATAGTTAAGTAATAAACGTCGGAATAATAATATTATTAAAAAATTATTAGAAATTACCTCATAAAAATAATAAAAAATTTAAATATAATAATTAAGATTAATAGAAGTTTAAAAAAAATAGATATAGAAAATTAAAAAGTACTTTAACAATAATTATTAATATAAATTTTATAAGAGCAGCAATAATTATAATTAAAATAAGTACCCGAAACGAGCAATCGGAGTTAGAAGAAAAGAAAAGTTTACTTTCTGCGTTGTACACAAGAAAATGGGCGCCGTACAAGCAAAGTTTGCTTGCAGTGGAGGCCCTCCTTATAGTTTTATATATTATAAAAAAAAAAATAAAAAAGCTAAACTTAAACATTTAATAAAAATATAAAAAATATATAAATATAAATTTCGTTTACAAGTAAAAATCAAATGTAAATATCACATAAAAAAAGTTAATAGTAATAGTATTAAAGCAGAGTATAAAAATATTTTAATAATCAATATATAGTATAAAAAGTATAAATAAACATAAATAAAAATATTATTATAAAATATATTAATAAAACATAATAATTTAAAAAAGTAAAAAGTATTTAATATATTAATGAAACTTGGAAGTAAAAATATATACAAAAGAGTAAGATAATTATACATTTAGTTATTACTTCTGCTAAATATTTATTATATTAATACTTTACTTTTTATAAAATAATATTCAGTTACTTTTATATATATTTATTTTAATAAATAACTTATTTATATTGTAGTTGTATTAATAATATTTGTTTAGCAACTTTATTATTTTTTCTTCATATCAAATATTATTGCTGTAGTATAGAATTTTTTTATAATGACAAATATTATATAAAAATAAAGATAAAGAAGTATTAATAATGTAAATAAATAAAAATTAATTTATTGCTTTTACAATAATTTTTTTTTAACAAACAGGTTTTCTTACTCTTCTGCTGTTATTTTAGAGTAACACTCGTTGCAGATATAAACGGGGTTTTCGTAGCCTATAAAATAATATAGTAAAGTATTAATAATAACATTTATAAGAAATAAAAGTAAATATTTATACAATATATATATGAAAAGTGAAAAAAAAAGTGAAGTTTCTTTAGAAAAATATATTAATAATCATAAATACACAAAAAAAATTAATAACATCATTTTAAAAAATTCATTATAAAATGGTAACATTAAAAGTTTTAATAAAAAAAAGTTTCATCTGCATCACTGGTTGTTCTCGTATTTAACTTTTAATTATTATTATTATAAATTTATGTAAATTATATATAGTATATTAATATTGGTAATTACGTTTATTATTCTTTTAATGTATAATATTTTATTGAAACAATTTTTATTCCTTATTATTTTCTGGAATTTTTATTTATACCAGCGATGGGGTATGGAATTTTCTGTAAAGCACACGAGGAGCAAACGGCTCTGCCGCACTTTCTACAGTGATGCTAATATTATTTATTAATAAAATTTACATACTTTATTAATAAGAACTCGAAAATAATATTATTTATTATAAGCAGTAGTATAGAAATAAAAGAAGCTATCATAATAATTATTGTTAAAAAGAAAAGTTTCTAAGTAATATTACTAAAAGAAACTAATATTATTATATAATTATAGTTTTACCTTTTTCTGATAATAAAATAAGAATTCTATATAATTTATTATAAGATTTACTAAATATTATTACTGAGAAGATTTTAAAGATAAAAATATATTAGTTATTGTTTATTATATAAAAATATTTTTTATATTTCCTGAGTTTTATATAAAAGTTTATTATAAAGTTAAAATAAACAACTATAATTTCAACGAGCCAAAGAATATATGAATATAATTATATTTAGCATAATGATAAATCAACGTTTTTAGTGTCAGTATTGAAGTAATTATAAGAAAAACAAAACCTTTTTCTTTATTCATTACATACCACTAATATAATATTCTTTTAGCGTCACAAAAACTTGATGTTATGTAAATATATATTTATAATAGTAATATTTAAATAATAAACATTAATAAATATATAACAACAAATAACTAATGATGATAGCAGTAGATAATTAAAGCAAACTTTCCTTCTTTGCATATCGTTATTACTAAAAAAAAATATTGTTCTAAATTTTATATATATAAAAGTTTATAGTGATACTGCATACTACTAATAAATATATAAGCCAAACAAAAAATACAGCCAATAATACTTGTAGTATTCATAATAAATAAGTTTTATAATAGTATATTACTTTATTATAATTGTTAAAATAAATCAATTATATAAAGGTATAAAACTTTTTAACAATTATACATAAATAGAAAAAAACAGAATTTTTCTATTAGTTTTAACGAAACAAGCTTGAATAATTTCTTTTTTTATTTAATGAAAAGTATTTTTATTTATATCAATTACTTATTAGTATTATATTAAACATCGAATATATATAAGAAAAAACCTGCCGATTTTTTTTTAAGGAAAACGAAAAGGTCCAGAAAAATTGAGAACCACAAACTTGGCATGCACGGGAGCTCTCCCAGCGCTGCGCCTGTTGTATAAGAAATAAAAGTTAGTGAAAAAAGTTTTTTTACATGTACTTCCCTTAATAACTATAAATAGAAATAAGTATAAGTATAGAAGAACTTTAAAAAGTAAAGTAAATAATATAATAAGAAAAGTTATTATATTAAGCAGAAAATAAAAAATATTAAGAATAAATAAAATTGTAAGTAAAAGTAAACCCATAAAAGTTGTTAATGTGCTCCAAAAGCTATTTATAATAAAAATAAATATAAATTTATGAAAACTCAGTAACAAATAAATAATAAAAAGTAAAAGTATAATACTATACCAAATTTCGAATTAGTAAAAGTTATTATAATAGAAAGAACTCGTCACTATCACCAAATTATCTGAAAAAAAAAGACTTGAAGTGTATATGATAAGTTTTACAGAAAAATCATGAAATTTTTATATCATTAAAAAAATTATATGTATATTTATTATAAAAAAGTTCTATTATTTTTCCGTTACGTTTTCACTATTAATAATGAGGTCAATGACTTTCAAACTTTTGTGAAACAGTGCAATCATTGGCTTATTAATAAACATCAAAACTTTTGGTGGCCAGTTAAAGTAGTCTTTATAGAAAGAGTTATAAATTGCTCTGTCAAAGGCCACGTGATCCGCCCAACCTTTATTTCCCGTAATAAAATTTTCATTTAAGCAGTAAACAAACGAAAAAGTTTATGTTTTTCTTAAATTTATTGAACGCATAACTTTGTACATAAGAAAATAAAGAAGAAATATTCATTAATAATACTGAAATATATAAAGTTGGGCAAAAAAAAGGAACCTCTAAACGCTTGACGCTCAAATCCCAGAAACAAAGAATATCATCTTTAGCCAATGAAACCAACTGAATACGTTATATAGATATAATAATGATTTTAGGCCATTATTAAAAATATTATGAAAATTTTTATAAAAACAAAAATGATGAATTAAAGTTTTCATTAAATATATCAATTCTAGATAGTATAATAGTAAATACTAGCACTTCGTACACAGAATTAAAAAAATAAAATGTACTTAAAAAAAAGATTTTTATCAAAAAATTATTTAGAACAATCGTTTATTATAAAAATATATAATCACAATTTTTAATATTATTATAATTATTTACTTACTACTCTTATTATAAATATAAATAAATAATATCAACAAACAAAAATGTTTCTTTGTGAAATAGTAACATAAATATTAAATAATACAATCTTTTTTTAAATAAATAAAAATATTTATAATATCTATTATAGGAAAAATATTATTTTATAAAAGTGAGAATTTCTTATTTATATAATATATAAATAATTTTTTACTTAACATTTAATATATAAGTAATAATATATATATATAATTCATGAATATATTATATTATATTATATACTGCTCTATTGTTTATAAGATTCTCAGAGATAACATTTTTTACTAAAACAATTAAATATGAATAATAAAATAAATTCATTTCTGAAAAAAACTTATTATTATATATAAATAAATTTTACGCGAAAAAAAATTATAAATTATTTTCTAAAATTTTATTGAGGGGAGTTTATTAGTTTGTATAAATTTACAGCCGCAATTGTTTATTTTTTTTTATTTTAATGTTATTTTGTTTAAGAAAGTTTATTTATTAATAATAAAAAGGCTTTAATTTGGTTTTTTTCCGAGTTTTTTTTATTATACTTTCATACAAGTTTTATAATTAACTTAATAATAAAGAAAAGTATTGATCAAACTGTTTTTATAAAAAGAACTTTTATTCGCGAATATTTCTTTTAACCAATAGGAGTTACTTGTTAAAAGCACAAATCATATTTACACTTGTGAAGTCAATCATTAAGTTCATAATATTGCTTTTCGGGAAAACTTTCAAACTACTTAAGTTCGTTGGTTAATCAAAAAGGATAATACTTAACTTTTTTGATAAAAAAAACCAAATTTCTATTAGAAAATAACAAAAGTCTAATAAAAAATGAAGTAAAAATTTAAATTCAAAAAAAAAATTAAAACTTTCTGAACTTTATATAAACAATAAAATATAAAAACGGCAAGAAACTTTTTAAAATGTTTCTACGTTCTTTTATTATTCTAAAAAAAATTTACAATTACACTAATATATATAACTTTTTGAAATATAATAGTTATTAGATTTATTTACTATATATATATATATATATATGAATACTAACTTCATTGCTTGAAGGAAAGTATATTAAAGAGAGCAATGCCTTCGAATGCAAGTTTAATTCGTAAAAACAACCGTATCTAAAAAAAATTATAAAGTTCAAAGGTTTTATAATAATAATAATAATATGGAAAGAAAATATGACGAATAAGCTTTCTTAATTAAAAAAGATCTAATAATAACGAGTTTGTTAATATAATAAACGCACCATTAAATTTATATTTTTTTATTATTCTATATAAAAAACTTTATTATTATTATAGAATTCTCTTTAAAAATGTTTAAAAGTATTTATATTAAATTAAATTTTTTTTTATTAATTCGTAAAAATTGTGCAATGGATTTTTATACTAAATTGTGACAAGTTTATTATTACAAACTACCCACTAAAAATTTTAATAGCTTTATAATTCGTAATTTTATTCAGTAGGCTTGAAAAAAACTTGACTTTAAAGAAATTATTTTCAGTGAAACATAAAAGTTGTAATTCGCTCACGCAAAGCTTTTAGTACTACTAATTATTTTAGTTTTTTTTTAAATAAAATAATTCATTAAAATGTTATAATAATTTCAAAACGAGAGATGTTTGTTGATAATTAATTGAAAAAAAAGTGTAAAATTACAATAAATTAATAATAAAATTAAAGCCGATAAAATAAAATATTAAATAAAGGGTTATAAATATAAGTATTTCAAAATTAATAAGTTTAAAGAATTATTTAAGGTTGGCATTTTCAAACTATAAACTGAAAAGTACAGAAAAAACCTATTATATTTTATTTAATACAAGTTTGTATATGAATAATATAAACTTAAAAAATTAATAATTTTAAAATTATATTATAATAGTATTTACAAAATTAAAAAAAATACTGAAGTACAATGTAAAGTTTTAAAGAAAAATTATACAAATGAATCTGCGATTTAGAAAATTAACTCGTCTTTGAAATTCCAAATCACAATTCTGTGGTCTTCCCCGCCAGAAAATAGTCGCTGTTTTTCCCCGTCCCATTCCAGGCAGGTAGTGCTGCCCGCGTGGCCTTTATATTTATGAAAGTTTGGAGATTTACTTCCTTCATACTTAAGTATAGCAATGTCTCCTTCAACAGTACCTAAAAAAGAATAAACTAATACTTAATTTATATACAAAATTTAATTTTATAAAACTTTATAGATTAGTATTATTGTTACCTTAAAAACAAAGCAAACTTTAATTTTTAATAATTATTGAGTGAATGAAAAAAATTTATCAAGATAATGATTAAAAAAAATAGAGTTTATTACTAAATTAATATATTAATAATTCAAATTAGATTTAATCAATTTATAATAAATATTATTTGTAAACTGTAAAAAAAAAATTAAATAAAAGTTTCAATGTAGTTTAGAAATTTCTTTATTTTGTATTTTAAGTTTTTATGAAAAAAGTAAATTTATAAAGATTAGTTATAACTTAAAATTAAATAAAAATTAATTGTAAAAAGAAGAAATGGTTCGACGTTAGCTGAAAAGAAAAATATTTTTTAATATTCTTCATGAAGTTTTTGTTTTTATAAAAATTTAAGAAAAAAATTAAACTTTGCTTTTTAAGTTTTGCAAGATTAATTGCAATAATTTCTAACTAAAATAGTTTCAATCTATTAGTAAAATTTACACGAAAAACCTTTATGAGTTTTTATAACTTATATAAAAATTTCTATAATTTTTGAAAAAGTTTACTTGTTTAATTTTATTTTTTTATGCACAGAAAATACCCAGAAAGAATATTTTTAATTCGGGATCAAATTTTAAACAAGTGATTCCAGCTTGAAGGCTACACTGCTCTATTAAAGTCTGATCAGATAATCTTCTGACATGGAAAAAGGAATCAAAACTACAAGAGAGTAAAAGTTGTTCCTGTTAAGTTGTAGAATTTATGAAATGATAAATGGTAAAATAATTATTGCTTAAAAATACATATAGATTAAAGTAATTTTACTTGTATTATATTTATTAATAAAAAAAGCAAACGTGAGTATCAACGGTTATGTGTGTCACAGAGTCAAAATGTGCGTGGATACTCTTTACTGATTCGAATTTACTTACATCTTGACTTACTTTGAGAAGCTATAGTTAAATTAAGACCAAGTTTTATTTCTATTTAACAAATTTAAAAATTAGTAAACTAAAAAACCATTATAAATCCGGTCTTCAAACCGACAAACACCTCTTTTAAAACTTCCTCTACGTGCAAACAAATGCAAGGAGAGGGAAAACTATAACAATAAGAAGGCCAAAAATCCTTAAAATTGAATATGTGAAAATAACAAAAAAATTGTTAAATATAAACAAAAATATAAAAATAACAAAGTAAATTCATAATAAGAGTTAATGGAAGTGTAGGGAATGCACCCCTTCACGGTTTTCCCAGATACGCGCGGTTCCATCCTCTTAGAATAATTTATTACTTTTAACTTAAAAAAAAAATTCTAGTTAAATAGGAATACCAGAAACCGTGAGGAACTTATCTAACTTTTGATAGTAAAATATTCCACTAACAAAGCTTCCATGGCCATATATTTTCTTGAGCAGCTCCAATTTTTGAAACCGCATTCTCGACATTCATAAGCTACACACCGCCAGGAGTTGTGCTTTTACGTAACAGCCACTTTTGTCTTATCTCGAAAGCTCTTTAAAGGTTTCTACCAAACGCGCTTATATTTTTATCTAGTTTCATCAGTTTACAAAGGCATAAGTTTTGTAAAGATTTTAATCAATGGATAAAAATTTGCACTTAAATAAAAGAAAATAAGTTTTGTTACACTATTTTTGGGGACCGCAACTTAAAGTAACTAAATCTTTAACAAAGCAAGCCCTTTATAAAGTCTACTATTTAATCCTGCCGCTATTACACGTTATAGTTATTTTTTTTCTTTTTTTAAAAAAAAAATTATAATACACAGTTTAATTTTTGGCTTCGTATTTACCTTTCTAATATTACTGCTGTCCAATTCTTTTTTTAACTTTTTACTTTACTATAATCCTTAACTTATATACTTACTAATTAGGAAGTTGAGAACCACATTGTTTACAATAGATATTTCATAACAATATTTCTTCTCTCTAATTTAGGTTCACTTTGGGTGAAAAAATTCAATTTTAGTTATAATTTTTTGCATGTTAACGAATAATCTCTTCAACTTTATTAAGATTTTCATAGGTAAGAACGATATACGTTATTTTGTTTGTATGTTTTCTCTTTAACAGTGTCTTCTCTAGATGCTGTAAGATGGTCGGTACCAGTTATTCGTAACTAAAGGCGCTGTTTAATAAAGATTTGTCTTTTTTAGTCCAGAAGCCGTGGCTGATAACTATTACTACTCCTAATTTTTAAAATTTAGAAAAATTAATAAATGAAGAAGTATAGTCCTATAGAAACCTGTTTTTCGGGTATTCACTACAGTTTCCTAAATTGTAATAGTGTTTAGTTAGTTGAAATTCCAGGGGAAAACTAATTTTAATATTTTCGAGTATAAACTATAAAAATTTTAAACTTTACTTTAGGTGACGTGGTAACGGATAACTATAGTTAGTATCTTTAACAATTATAATAGATTTGTAAGTTAATAGAATAACACCCTGTTTCTTGCAAAAGAATTTGCTTTTATTAAAAAAACTCTGGCGGAACATATATTAAATACTAACGTTGAAGGGGCTTTAAAAAACTTTAAAAAAATGTATAATTGTTAACACTAAATTAAAATTCTAATTAAAATTAAAGTTTCTTTTTTAGCTGAAAGTCTGTTATTATGTAATAGAAACACTTAAAAACGCACGCACATGTTTAACACCTAACGCTCAATGAAATATCCTAAAAAGGTAAGTTCGTTACTACCGAATAATATTGTTATATCGCATTTATTGAAAAAACGAACAAACAGAAAAGAAAATCATTGTAAATAATTTTAAACAAAAAGTTTACCAACAAGTTACTGTAAAAATTAGTAAACCGATCTCTCCTAATTTGTACAATTCTAGTAGTATAAACCTAGAGAGAAGTAATACTAATAAAAACTTTCTAACAACTTATTTTTCTCTTCGTTTAGCCTCTTTTTTTTTCTAGCTATTTGTATTTCTTGAAAATTAACTTAAAATATACACCAATCAGTGGAGTCACAAAATTAAATAATGGTACTTATACTAAAATATTAAATTAAATAATTAGTCAAATAGTGCCATTGAAGTTTTCTCTCTTTTTTTTATTTTAAGAAAAATACTTTATATAGGAACGTTCTTTTGTTAGGAACTTTCTAGAGACATGTTAGGTAATAACATAGAACAAATTCGATCAGTTTACTGCGCAGTAATATATATTCATGAACATAGTAAGATAACACTTTATTTTTCGTATGAGTCTTTATTGATGGACACGTGCTCTTATTTACGGCTAAAACAAACTATAGAATGGTTCAGGGGTCCCTTCCTCTCGAAATTAACAGCAACTCCAATAGAGAGCGCCCCAGTTGATTGCGATTAATTCGACACTTACCAAGCTTGCTCTAATGAAGCACCTTCAGTGATGCTGCTCCATCATTATTTTAGTATTAGTCTGTCAGTAACCGGAAAAAGGCTAATAACACATTACCAGTGAAACTTTTCTAGTCAAGGGGATAGGGAGACTAAAACTTAAGCTACTATATAAAAGAATGGGAAATTTCTACCAACTCAGCAACATAGTAAGACGGCCTTAATTTTAAATTCATAATTAATAACAATTTTTCATTACACTCAATAAGCAGTGCGTCACTAATGTCCCTGCTGAATTTGCTTAAAAAACTATTTTTTGTTCTGTTTTATAAAAAATATCAAACAACCATTAAACCACAGTTAGTATGCCAGGAAATATAATCCTCTTTTAATTTACTGCTCCATTTTTACAAATCCGTAGTGTTTTTTCAAAGTCATATATAAAGCAGCTCTTTTTCTTAAAAAAAATATCTATCTCTAAATTTTTTTTATTAATGAATTTTGCCGTGACTAATAGCACGGATACAATAATTGGCCTCCTTAATGGATAAATTAGAAAGTTAAAACCTTAATATATGATTTCCTGTTCCTCTGGAGTGGTGAGAGATCCAACTTACAAAGCGTTCTGAGTCAATTTTAGGTCGCCTTATTACAATTTAAGTCTTAACATAATCTGTGAAATTTTGAAATAGTACAAATGTACTGTTAATATATATAAAAAATCTGTTTTTTCCCGCGATTTTATAAGTTTCTTTACAGCTAAGTATAACTATACTCACATAACATTTCACCTAGAACAGGCATTTTTATATTTACCGAACATAATGTATTTATCCTCTCAAATTTACCTAATTCAAACCTCAATTAAAAACTTGCTAGTAACTTGGTAAAATAAGGTTTTGGGGTTGATAAATAGCCTAAGAATATTTATCGCACCATAATTCTCGTTACTTTTTATAAAAGAATTATATTAAAAACAAAGCCTTACCTAATTGGTTTTTGTTTTTAGTAACAAGAAAGCACCAATCTCGCACCGAGGCGCCACCAAATACAGCCCACACACAGGAAAAACCTTTTTTGTACCGGGGCTAAATATGGAGACTGGCATATAGCGTATCTCCAAGTGAAGCTTTTTAAAAGCCTTCAATTCAAATAATCTTGGTGCCCAAATAGTTCGACCCGGTTCATCAAAAAAAAACTCAATTTTTTTTAAACAATCAAAGTAGTTACGAGTCATGAATTTAACTTTGACTTTTTAAATAAAGGTTAATTCACACAAAAATTGTCAATTTTTGTAGTCTCTAGGAAGTTTACTTAAAATGCAGAATAACTATATACAAAGGTCGAAAAATGAGGAACGCCGGTTGGTGTACAACCGTTAGTTTGTAAAAAAGTAAACTCTAATTGAGTCAAAAGTTTTAGAGCAGCAAACATCGAGTAATTAGAAATCCCTCCGTTAAGTCGCGGCCCAAGTTCCACTTCGAGTTTACAAATTCGAAGGATCTGCCACGTTCCCGAGGATCAGGGTTAATTGCATAGTTAACTAATCAAGTGTTTAACAGAAGCAACGCTGTCCTCAAATGGCAAACTTTGTCCCGTAAATAAGTTTAAGAACGCAAAAGTCGATTGATTTGATGGTTACATACAACTAAGACGGCATTTAATTTTAAGCTCTTAATGTCCTACGAAGATAGCAAGTGCTATATGTAAATTAACAAAATGGTAAAAAGCTTAAATAATTAAAGGTAACAATGTAAAAACAGGTAACAGATAACGGTAAACGGAAAAAGGGGGTTGACTTCAACAGAGTTTCTCAAATTGCTCTAGTAAGAATCGTATGTAATGCTAAAGATTCAGGACGCTTCAAAGCAAACTGCTGGCTTTGCTATTCTTGCAGAAGATACCGGGGGATACCCTATACACCCCGATCTAATAAATTTGCTGAGTTGCAGAGCCTGAAATTGTCTCATGCTGCGTAACAGGTTAAATACGTAAAGCCCTTATATACCGGGGTTGAGAGTTGCCGTCGTACCTCAACGGGTAAGAGAATTGACGCGCATCTCCAAAGTCGTAGGTTTGGTTTCCACCAACGCGCCTCTCTTTATCGGTTTTAATGGTCTCGTATTTAACCCCGTCCACCTCACGAATTATACATTTAAGTGGATTGTGCTTATTTTACTTAAATATATAGCTCTCGGGTTAGGGTATATAAAGTTATCTAGAGAGAATTGCATCATTTCAAAAATCCTGAATTCCTAGCAGAAAACACCATAAAATTGTATAAATTTAAAATTTTTGTTCATTTTAGAAGTCACTATTTTAGTGAAACCCTTTTATAATTGTTAACGTTTTTAGTAACCAGTTGAATGGCGGAGAGACCTTTATGATTTTGATCTATTATTACACTATAAAACTAAAATAAAATTTTATCACTCGCTAAATAGACTGCTTTCTAACAGAGGACATCTAAAGTACGGTAACTGTTTCGTATTGGCTATCTGTAGTTTCATAATCAGCGTGATAGTATAACTTAACCTCTGATTTCGAACTTTGTTCTGTTAGTATGAGAACTAAGTTTAACTTTATCTTTTACTTTTACGGAGCCCAGTCGGAAAATTTCATATTCTACGAATGTAACAAGTAGAATTTACGAATAAAAAGGGGCTGTAGCCCTCTGGTCAGTTAAATCCAATAACAATTTAGCTTCACTTGGTCCCCTTCGACGTTTGCTATTACATTTTCTTGGCAAGTATTATCAATGTTAACACATTTTTTTTAAGTGGTGCAGTCAACGGTATTATAAATACAAAGTTTGCGCCTATGCGAGCTTTAAACCTGATAACAATAAAAAAGATGTAAAAAAAAATATTATTCCTGCAAACATGTTTAACTAATTAATTGCAGATATTCTTAGTTTTAACAATATATATACTTTTTTTTAATTTTTAAATAAGAAAAATATGCGGCGCCGACCTAAACATGGCAAGCTCGCATAAAAAGTGAAAATTAAAATTATTTATTTAATTAAAAAATTCCAAATTTTGTAAGTAATATGCAGGATACAGTTAAAAGGTTAAAATTAGAAATATTAAGCATTGGAAAAAAAAAGTTTCTTAATATTTCCACTAATATCGAATTGTTTCTAATTTACTCGTCTAAATAATGTTATTTAGTAATAAAGATTTTTCATTTATAGTCGGTGACAAATTAAATGCGCGATAACCGTTTGCAAGCTAAATGTAAGAGATTAATTTCGTAGAGAAAAAGTTTTAATAACCATAATTTGTTACGTATTTTTAAAAAGTTTCAATCGATTTAAAGTGTGTTTAGGCGGTATCAAATAATTACCTTAGCTACGTTTATCAGCTACAGCCAACTGTTACAACTAGAATTTATGTACTGTTTAAAAAAAGATAAGCATGCCAAAAACTCAGAGAATTAAAAAAAACCTATGAAGTGGTTGGTCACTATAATAAAAACTTAAAATAGAAGAATTAGAAGAAAAATCCTAAAAAATATTCTATTTAAGCAATTCTTTAAAGAAGCTAATGGTTTTAAAAAAGCTAAAATTTGAAAGTATAGAGTTTATCTAACCTGTTGTAAATTCAAAAGACATCATAGCTCTAGTAACCCCCATAAAAGTTGATTTACCTTATACTAAGCACTAAAAATTACATTTGATTGTTAAAATAACAACTGCCTGGATTGACGTGATGTAGTAAGAACCCACTAGGTTGAAATCGTAACACTTTCCTGCAAATATGTCTGAAGCAAAATTTATAGAGGTTTCGTAAAGAATTATAAATGTTGGTGTTTTCGCAAATTTGGACAAAAGAGTAACGACCAGTGAATAATTTATATAGAAGCTGCCCTTTAAAAAGCTGTACAAAAAACCAATAAATACCACTAATTATAACATAGAAGGCCGTCCTCGATAAGTAAACTTGTTTTTTGTAAAATTAATTTCAATTTACTCCCGTAGTTTATACTTAGAGCTGTTGTTTTTAGCTTCACAATGCGTAGTCCTTGGGTCGCGTTATATGAATGAAGGTGGTCACACAAATTAAATGACAATTTTTTTTAATAACTCCGCGCCAGCTCAAATGCACCTCTGTTTATACTAAATTCTTATTAGGCGCTCATTTTTTAAATTTAAGTCTGCATGTAGAAACTACAATCGCAATTATTAATAGTATGTTTTTATACATCCTTTAATATTTATTATTATCTCACTGTTTTTATTAGAATTCTTTTAAGTTTTTTATATATATTATTAAATCTTTATTCTGTTATTATAATATTTTATAACATATAATTATCATTTAAATTCATGTAATATTAATTTATTATTACCTTAACATTATATAGTTAGTTTTTCCTTCTCGGTCCTCTTTTCATAAAATTCGAAGATGCCGAACAGTTAAAAAGAGTTCCTCGCTGAGGGCTTCGTTCTATAATGCTATATCCCAGCTGTGGTCGAATCGCCGCGTAGGCGCTAGTTGTAGTATATGAGGTATTAGACTCACGATAATAACTCGAGTTTGGTTATTTCTTTTGAACTTCAGCAAAGTAGGTTCAATAGACTGCAGCAAACTTACATAGCTAATTTTTATTTCCAATAATATTATTCCTGATTACTTTTACTTTTTAAAATTTATTATATAAAATCTTACTCCGCTGTCTTTTTTTTTACTTTATATTCTCTTTTACTTATTAACTTTTCAGATGAAAAGACTTTATTTATTAAGGAAAAATATATAAACGATATAGGGTTTTAGCCTGTAATCTTAAAAGACTAATTAAAATAGAAATTAAACAATTTTCGGATCTTTTTAGCTATTAGATCTATAGATAGTAGAATCTTTTATTTGTATTTTACTACAAAAATTTATGCAGTTCTTAATTTCTTATTTTTTTTACTGGTTTTTATAACGCAACGATGAAAATTTTTTGAGTGATAATTTTATAAATCTGATCGGAGTAAAAAGTAAGAAAATGAAACCTTCAGCTTTAGGAATATTAAAAATTTATTGTCATTTGCCGCTAATGCTTCAGCATAGCTTTTAAAGCTCAGTTCAAACATTTTTAGGACTTTTACTGTTCTTCTCATCTTAAGATGTACGCTTGTTTTAACCAATAAACTAAAGCAAATCAGGCAAGACGATCTCAAATGATTATTATTGATTTGCGTAAATACTATTTTTTATAACCAAAATTTATGTTTTTGTAAATCAACTTTAAAAACTTTTAGAATCTATTTTATAAATTTATAAAAAATTTTTATTAGAAACTTATAAGTATAATATTAGTATTGTTAATTATTTGGCAATTTTATTTCCAATGCGCTTAGATGGCGGTGGTAAACTTAGAAATTTTAAAATGCAATTCATTAAATTTCGGTACTCTACAAAAACATATGTTAAGAATAAAAATTGAAATCACAAGTAAGAAAAAACCAATAGACTTTTCCCAGTCCCAGTAAAGATGACGAAGTCTTTGAAAAAGTATCCATTCAAAATGCTGCATAACATTAAGCACATTTACAATAAAAAAATATTTACTACAATAATATTATATTATGTACATATAGATAAAAAGAAACCTGGCGAAGATTATAAAGATTTTCAAAAAGAGATTTTTTACAAGCCAAGTAGATCCACTCGTCCAACACACAAACGCCGTAGCTATCGTTATCATAAATAGAACCTATTTTAAGAGTAACAAAATTAAATTAGAAATAAAATAAATATTTAGAAATTTTAAAAGATAAAAGAATAAGAGCTTTAACAGTTTTCAAATACTAAAGTTAATATAAAAAAAAGTTAAAATAGATAACATTAAACGAATTGAAAACTTTAATAGTTGTAAATAGTTATAATAAAACTAATAAAAAAAATTATTATAATATTTATTATGATTAAATACAAAGTAGTGTAATATATATATAAATAAAAGTTTTATAATTATAAATTAAACAAAAAATAATAAAGTAAAAAAATTAAAATAAGGAATTCATTATATAATAGTAAAAGTATTAATCATACTAATAGTGTGATTATGTCAAAAAACTTTAATTGCCCACTTATTATTATTAATCACTACAGAAGAACTTTTCACAGTACAATAAAATTTTTAAATATAGTGAATTGTTTATATATATAAAAAAGAAACAATGAGTCGCTTGAGAATAATTTCGTTCATCAAAATTTCCTTTTTTCTGGTCGATGATTGGATCGTAGTACCATCTTAAAGATTCTATTATATATTATAATATTTTTTTATATTATTCATTTTATGCTGTATTTCTTCACACCTCCGCCAAAAATCAAAAGCGCATAAACCGATACACATGTGACTTGACGCAAAAATGGTTCAGAAGTTTTTACTTTGCCTTGAAACATATAAAAGAGAGATTGAACGCCAGCCGCGTCCCGATAAACCACGGAGGACGGGTGGATTTTTATCTGGGTCAGATTAATAATTAGTATCATTTTGTTTGTTAATTATAGTAACACAAAAACTGCCTAAAATCATATAGTTTACTGTACAGTAGTAGGCATCAAGTTGTTTATAGTGTGTCTAAATTAAATGGTAAGCCACCCGAAGATCATGCTTGGTCTTGAACATTTTGCGTCCGACTCTATATGAAACATTCGGGTACATGGCAATAACTAAAAGTCCTAAATGTTTTTAATACAAATTAGTGTACAAAGAAAATATATATTAAATATTAAGCAAACTAAGAAGAAAATAAAACAAAATATTGAAAAAAAATTAATATGAAAAACCTTTTAATAAATTCAAGTCACTTGAATTTTCGTTAAAGCGAGGACCGCCAATAAGCTCGTTAGAAGTGCGAGTAAAATGATATTTATCGACCAATCCTGCATCCGCCAGAGCATTATATAAATAATAGCGAAGTTCCGATATTTGCTGCAAATAACAATAATTATAGTAGTAGTAGCAATAAAGATGATGACGATAATAATAATAATAATAATAATAATAATAATAATAATAATAATAATAATAATAATAATAATAATAATAATAATAATAATAATAATAATAATAATAATAATAATAACCGATAATGTTGACTTGGATAAGCAATGTTTATTTATAAAATCGTGTTCTTGAATAAGCGAGTCAGGAAGAAGAGTGGACTGCCACTGGTTGAACAGAAAGAACAACGCTAAAAAAAATAACATCTAAATAATATAATGAATAAATAAAAAAATAACTGAGACAACAAATAAAAGGATAACAAACACAAAAAAAATAATTACTCAAGTGATCGCTTCGTTGAGCTTGACCAAACAGAAAACGAGAATTACTTACTTCCTTTTATAAATTACAAACTTATAGTTGATAATAATAGTGAAAGAAAATTGAATGCCTTTTTACTATCTGGAGATATATCAAAAGGGTCGCGCAAAGTCATCGAGGCTATAATTGTCTTATTAATAATGATATTAGTAAAATAAATTAGTTATTAGCTAATAATAATAATGTGCACAAGAATTGGGTCAATGCAGCGAAAAAAGCACGCATATATCAATGCCTTCCCCAAAGTTGGTGACAAAGGAAGTTTGGATAGTTGCCAGCCCAGAGGAGTGAGCTCCTACAATAATAATAATAATGATAATAATAATAATAATAATAATAATAATAATAATAATGAGAACTTCTCTTTCATCAAAAGCTTGTAATCGCTTTAAACGGTGAAGACAACCGTTAACGAGATGAATATCCGGAGGTTGAATACATTTCTTACTAAAGTCAATCACGTTACTAACATGCAACGCCTTTGCCTTTAAACAAAGCCCCTATGCAAAAATAATAATGATAATAATAATATTATAATTAAATAATAATCACCATTAAATCGGAACGAACTATTTCAGGAGTCTGAAACTCCAATAAATAAGGCAATAACGTCTCGGAAATTAATGAAAAATAATAACCACTCCTAACACGCCCTTAAAAAAAAAGGTCAAAAGTTTAATGAATTAATATAAAAAGCGAAGTTTACAAATAAAAATAGGAAATTATAAATGATATTTACTGAACAAAGTTAAACACAACATAGGATGGCAAATGACCAGCTCGTCCACGTCGCTGTCTAAAATTTGATAGGCTAATCCACTTTGTGGTTAAACTTTGCATGCACGTTTCCGGATAATATTCCATTTCCTTAAGCATCCCGCTGTCAATGACGTACACAACATCCGGAATAGTAACACTCGTCTACTATGAAAGTTACTTTTAATTATAATTATAAAAATAATGTCATTTTTATTTACGTTCTTTAAAAAAAGTAACATCTAATTCCTAAAATATTAATATTACTCCATAGTAAGTTCGGGCTATAATATCCATATTTACTTTACACAAAAAAATTATTTCTACTTTTTAGTATAAAAATATAATTCAATATTTATTTAAAGACGCTCTTCATGAAGAACATTAATAAATTAATTCTAATACTAAAAATATTAGTAAATTAATAGACTATATAAACATATTATAATAAAGATAATCAAGAAAGTGCTCAACCAACTTATTTATATTCTTTATAAATTCTGCTTATCTCTAATATTAATTTTTTATAGGACCTCCGCAATATTCGTAGAGAGAATAACTTTGTAAACGCCTTCCGGCGCAGGCTCAAAAACAAAGCGCCTACTGGCTAGTCCCAAGGAAGAGTGAAGCAACTCGATAGCCACGTTTTCATAGCCCAAGTTCTTTATTTTTCTTATAAAAAATTATTTGAGATTTTCTTTGTTACCCTTTTTAATAAATAAACTCACGTGTGCATAGCGTTTATTTCTTCAATGCCGGGAAGAAACACGAGTATTCCTCCAGGTGGTAACTTTAGGACAATGTAGCCAATCAAATTAGTGATCAAAGGGTAATACGGCGAAAGTTTCGTTTCTTGTCTGGTAAAAGATAGGCGATTGGTACAGAATGATTAATGAGCCTATATGTTGGGGGAAGAAAGACGTACTTAGTAACAATAGAGTGTTCCATTTTTTTAACGTACTCTAAAAATTCGCAATTTTGCTCAAATTTTGAAAATAAACTTAAGCAGTCTTCCAAAAAGTATGACTATAATGAAAACCAATGAAATTCTTTATATAAAAGAAAGCGAATGAAATGTAACCTTCACAGCGTAGGATTTCCCGCTTATTTCTAGCAAAGGACAATTAAAATAATGACAAAATACTGCGGGGTTCACTGTGGCGGACATGAGGATGACCCGAAGGTCCGGCCGAATAGTCATAACCTCTTTCAACATGGCCAATAAGAGATCGATTTCTAAAGACCGCTCATGGACCTCAATAAAAAAATATTCATTATAAATTATTCGAGTAAACTTTAATAAATTTCATTACAAACTAATTTATACTAAAATAAAAAATGCAATGACGAATCAACAGCAGTAAACAAAACGGAAAACTGTTACTAAATATAGCAAATAAATTTCATTAAAGTCTCTTAAAGTCTCTTATCTTTAATACTTGCATTCTTAAGATAAAAAAAAATGGTGAAGGAAGGTAACCTAAAAAAATGTTATGATAGAAATAAAGACTAAAAAACTGTAAAAAGTAATAATTACTAATATATATTAAAGTTTTAATGAAATCAATTATAAAAGTTCACAATAAATAGGATACAGCTGAAAAGTGAATGTAGAAAGTCATATAATAAAGTCAACTATAGAAGTTCCTGTAAAAAGACTTGAAAAATTATAAACAACGAAAAGGAATAAAAAAGTTTCGACCAAGTTATATAAAATAAATAAGAAACTGGATAATTCACTAAAAAAATGTAAAACATACAATAACATATTAATAATGGTAATACCTCATCAACAAAAACGTGAGAAACACCCGCGAGATCAGAAGTAGCTGATAAGCGACTCAACAATACACTATTTTTTTAAAAAAAAAAATTTAAAAAAACCAATAAAACGAGGAGAAAAAAAATAGAATATATTATATCGCTATATATAAATTTACAAAAAAAATGATGAAATAAAAAACCCCGTCGTGCAAAACGTTATGCAGCCGTCGGGAAATGGAAGCACACTGTCCATCCGGACTTGATAGCCGATAGAATCCCCAAGACTTTCGCCCCTCTCATGCGCCACGCGTTCGGCTACAGTAATGGCGGATAGCCGTCTGGGCTGGGTCACTACTATGCGAGCCTGGCTCCCTCTGTAGTTCTCTATCAGTTCTTCAAGTACATATCTATAATAATTATAGTATATGAAAGAAAAATGATAATTTTATAAAACGAATGAACAATAATTATTATATTTAACAAATAAATAATGATAATGATATAAATACAAAAAATAATAATAAAGTAAGTTTTTAAAAAGTATATCTATGCAAATATAAATCCACAAAATAATAGTCAATAAAAAATATATAACTAAATTGCATAACAATAACAGAAATAGTATAGAATTTATAATTAAAAAAAAAGTAAACAAGAGATAATAATTAAAAAATGATAAAGCAAAGTGTAAAAAAAGAATATATATATATTAATAAAAAGTAAACAAAAAAATAATAAATATTATAATAATAACTAAAACAACATTCCAAACAATTAAATAATAACAATTTCTTTTATAATTTCAAAATTCATTAAAAATAAATAACAAAACTATAAATAAATTTATTTTTTTAAAACATTTAAAAAAATATATAATTATGCATTTTAATAGTTTTCACAGTAATACAATCATAATTTATTTAGAATTAATAAAAATAATACCTTTCATAATATTGAAAGATGTATATAATAATGAGAATAATAAAAGTTATTTATACAATTAATTAAAAAAAGGTAAATTATTATTCAAGGAAATAAAAATTATATATAAAATAAATGTTTACATAAAGTAATAATAAAAGTTAGCTGTTTATACTATATAATAGTAATAGTTCAGTTTATAATTATAAGTTATTATATAATAAAGTTACCAAATGATATAGTAAAAGTAAAAAATTAATCAAATGGTAACCGAGTTACAAACATAATAGTAATAAGAATAAAAGTTATAAGTAAAAGTAAACTGTGCATATAAAAAATATATTTTTAATAATAATCGTAACATAAAAATAAAAAAATTAAAAATGTAAAATTTACTTCAAGTAATTAAGAAAAACGTAAAAAAAAATTTAAAAAATTATATATTGTTTTATAATTTATACACATAATAAATAATAAAATATTTAATAAATTATAATAATTGTTAACAAAGTAATAAAAAATAAAGCAAGATAATATTCATAAAATAATAGTGATAATAACGTAAATGCGTACTGAGGAACTTGTGTTGTTTTCCCCGAACCGGTTTCTCCGGTAATTACCAAACATTGATGAGCGCCAATCATCTCAAGAATTTCTTCTCTTTTAGTATATGAAGGAAGTTTCCTTCTCAAGAAATTGATGCCTTACACAAAAATATTACTTTATACTTAAAAATAATGATAATAATGATAATAAAATTTGAAATAAACTAGTGAATGCATTACGCAAATGTTAAAAATAGTAATAATGTACTAAACAGATCCAAATTATTATTGCTTTTGTTGGAAAATTTAAAAATGGGTATAATAATTGCGACCAATCATTATATTTATAAGGCTCAAATATTTTGGAGATTGACTCAATATGGGTTGCAAAAAGTATAAAGACCCAATAGCGTTTACTATGTCAACGTGATTAAAGAGGTTCAATTTTTGGGTTTAAATAATCTAAAGCGTAAAAATAGTGATTACATAATACAAAAGTATTACAGTCATAATAATATCTCCAATAAACTCAATTATTATACAGAAGACTTTTATACATTCAGTTACTTCATAAACTTTTTAAAATATAAAAATAAAAAATAAAATATTTTAAGTTTAAATAAAAAGTATGAAATAGTGTAAACGTAAAATGTTTAGAGTTACCCTTACAAATCCGTTTGCAAATAAAACTTCATACACCCGTAAAAAAAAACGCGAAAAATTATATAAAAATCGCTAATTTGTTTGCAACATCTAAAACCAATCGAGTCTATATTTCAAAATATATTTTGGCGCGGACATTTACGCACGCGCCAAAAAAGATATAACATAGAAACCCGAGTTGCTTCTGTTCTTGAGCAAAGAATCCAGAAGCACGTAGTCGCGGTTTTCTTTCGCTCTATTAGAACATTCATATTTGGCAAAAAGCTGAGTGGAGGCGTCTATTCATTAATAAAATAAGTGACATGTTGCATACAATTATAACGTAGAAACTGCCCACAATAAATACAACAAAAGAATAATAATAAATTGTGTTGTATAAGAAAATAATGATGTAAAAACTCCCAACAATTTATATTCAATAAAATTTCATCTATACACACAACAAATATAAAAAATGTGTTATATGAAAAAGTAATGATGTAATGACTTCCAATAATTAAAAGTTGAAATTTAATAAAATAAAATGTGTTGTATAAATATTATTGAAAGTTCTCAGGGATCAATATTCAGTAAATTTAATATAAAATAATAAATAAAATAAAATTCAACATAACTGTAATAAAGAAATCATTCACATCATTTATTATTAGTAATACAATAATAATAAAAAGTATTTAAATATATTATAAAATTTATAAACGATAAGATAATGATGTAAAAACATATATAATAGTTTCCTATTTATACAATAATAATTTTATTATAGAAATTAAATACAACAAACAAGAATAATAAAAACTAAAAGTAAAATTTATAAAAAATTAATCATAAAAAAGGCTATAAAAAACATAATTATTAATATCAAATGATTTTTATTAGTGTAAAAAAAATATTAAAAAATAAAAAAATTGATAATAATAAAAATAAAAATTATAAAAAATAATGTAATTCCAAAAAAAATAGTATTAAATATTTTTTCCTTTAAATAAAAAAATTGTAACAGCGACAAAAAAAGAAAAAATTATAATAATAAACGATACTGTAAAGTTTTAAAATAATTAATATAAAATAATTTTTAATTGTGTAAAAAAAAATTATGATAATAATAAAAATATAATAAAATTTAAAAAAGGAGAAAACAACTAAATAATAAAAAATACTACTAAAAATTGCTGATTGTGTTAAAAAAATTGTAAAAGAATTAAAAGAAAAAAGCAAAAAAACAATTATAATAACAAAAAATACTATAGAATTCCATTAATTAATATTAAGTGATTTTTTTTTTATGTAGAAAATAAAAACTTTATAAAAATTAAAAAAAATTAAAATAAAATAAATAAAAACACTTATAAAAATAAAATAAAATAAAAAATACATTATTTAAAAAGATAAAGTTAATAAAAAATAATATAATTAATAAAAGTATAAAATATTATAATAAAAAATAAAATAAATAATAAACAGCACTATAAATTCCAAAATGACTAGTATTAAATAATTTTCCGTGTCAAAAGAAATTAAAATAATAAAAAATTGTAATGGAATTCACAGGAAAAACAAAGAAAATAATGAAAAATAAAATAAAAATAGTAAAAAAATTTTTAATACAAATTATTTAAAACTTCAATATTATATTAACTTTCTATAAACTTTAGTTTTATAAAGTTTTGAAAATAAAAAAGCACTTGTATTCTTGATTATATAAAAATTATTATTATTATTATTATTGTACTTCGTCCTACTTTTCAAATTATTATTTTCATTCGCTTATTGAATTTATTACTTAAATAAAAAACCAAGTAGATTTGTATATTTAATTTTTATATATATATTTCTCATTAATATACATAATAATAAGTAAAAAAATATAATGATAAAATGTAATATTTATAAAAGTATAAAAAAAACAAAAAAAAATAGACATTAAAAATAAGTAAAAAAATTTAATTAAAAATAATCAAATATCGAATTCAAATAAAAAATTATAAGTAAAATCGAGTAATAATAGATTTATAAAAGTAATATAAAGATTAATAACTTAAAAATAATACATAAAATATATTTTAATAAATAAAACTAATAATAATACTAAACCCAACTCTTCCCGAATTGCGGAAGTGTGAGGCTCTCTACGGTATATGCTGGACAAAAAAGGATCCTTAAAACCCTTGTAATAAATATAAAAGTTTTAATATAACTAAAAATAAAGAAAAAAAATAAATTTTTATAACGACATTACAAAAATTTCAATACATTTTAAATATAAATTTAAGCAAAAGCAAAAAGTTCACATAAACAACGTCAACATATAATAACTTCATAAAAGTTTGAGTATTAAAAAAAAATAAATATAAAGAACTACTCTTAAGCACTCTAAAGTTTCAGCGAGACAAGCTTCGAAGTCTGCAGAAACATCCAATGAAACAATCTTTCCATAGCCGCTGTGCTCCACGGAGTTGTCTAGTTCTTCCCCTTAAATATGATAATGAATTATATAAATAACTCCAAAAAAAAAAATAGGAAAACAATTAGAGGTTTTCTGTTTTTTTAAAAATATTATTTCAAAAAAATAAATAAAAAATCATAAAAAATGATGATAAGGTTTCAAGTTTTTTTATGATAATAAAAATAATAAGCTTTGTTTTTGTATAAAGATAATAAACAATATAAATCCAAAAAAATAATAATTATTATAAAAATGGTATAATATTATAAAAATATATTTAATAAATACTATAAGAATAATTTTATAATTAAACTACTAAATAGCAATAAAAATTTCTTTTATTTCAAAAAAAATTAAAAATATTAAAAAGTTTATGAAAAGAAACTTTTCTTTAAATAAAATAAATAAGAGCGATAATACCAGAATGCTCAGAAAAATGACGAAGAAGTGAGTCTTTCCACAGTTTTAACGATTTATATTTTGCCTAAAAATAATAAATATCTTTTTTCAGCAGTCAATAGAAAGGTAAGAACCTCGTGCTCATCTGGACTTTCACTTTGAATTATATTATTTATAAAGGAAGGACTTACAATAGTACATACAAAAAAATGTTGAGTATGGTCCTAATAATTTAATACAGCCAAGTTTGAATTACTAAATATTATAACATACATAACACCCCAATAAAATAATAGAGGTAATAATATTTCTCAATTCAATATTTATAAAGTAAAAAAATATTCAAAAAGGAGTAAAAGTGTCATAAATAATAATATTAGTAAAGTAAATAAAGAATACAAAAAATTTATATAAAAAAGTTAATAAATAATAGTTTTGTTTAAGTTTTACTAATACAATCTAAAAAATTAATATAAATTATATAAAAGTATAATAAACGTCGTACAAGCCGCAGAGAAGGAAGAGGAAGTTGATGGCGTTTGCAAAGAAGTTGAACTTCATTCTAAAAAACAAAATAAAAATGTAATAAAGTATTTTTTTTGTATATAAATAAAAAAATTAATGCGCAATAATATATTTGGTGTACTTTTTATTATAGACAAAACAATTATATAAGTTTATTTTAATATTATTATACGTTATTACAAAGTGAACAGATAAAAACTAGAAAAAATCTTTAGTATAAATAATATTACATAATATAAAATATGGAAATTTTTATTAATTGAAAATAGAGAAATACAATATAAATAATAAAAAGAACATGTCTCATATAAAAAAGTTAAGTTAATATACAAAATTTATAAATAAATACTTTTTTGTTACCAATAAAATATATTATAAACAAGTTTATATTTAACATTATTATTATTAGTTATTAAAGAGTATATAAAAAAATATTAAAAAAATCTTTTTCACAAGTAATAATAATAAAATAAATATTAAAAACTTTTGTTAATAAACAAAAAAAAGTATAAATAATATAAAAAGTATACTCTCATAGTTAACAAAAAATATTATGTATATAAATACTTTTAAATGTATATTAAAAATAATATAAAAGTTTATATTAACATCAGTTAAGTTATTAAAAGTAAATAAATATTGTAAATAATAAGAAATAATTAAACAACTTGTCATAAACTTTAAATAAATTTTTATATAAAAACATGATTAAAAAGTAAACTTTCCTAAATATTATGATAATAACAAATATTTTAATAATAATCAAATAAAATTAAAAAAAATATAATAATAATTTATAGCAATATTTTCTTACTAAAAACAAGAAAAATATTAAAAAAAAATTATGTTTTTAAATAAATACATTAACTATTACTTACTATTTATAATTATTAATATTAACTTTAAAAAATATGCACTATTTTATATTTAGCATAAAAAATGTTTACTATTAAATTATTAAAATAGAGTATATATAATTATATAAAAGATATATTTAAAAAAATAAAAAAAAGTTTAAAAAATATTTATAACATAAAATTCGGTATTAACATGAAAGTAAAATTATAATAGATAGAAAACTTTTAAAATTCCAAAGACAAATATATTATAAAGGTTAAATAATATTAATAATATAAATAACAGCAAATCGATAAAAATATAAATAGTAATAAATATATTTACCAGAAAATTTTTTTTATAAATAAAATGACATATAAAGTATACAAAACAATAGTATTAATAATATATAGAATGAAAAAGTCTACTTTTACGATATAATAATAATAACAAAAATAAACATCCCCTGAAATATAAAAAAACAACCCATTCTTCATCAAATGACCGCTTCGAATTTGTGCACGTATACTCTGAATGAGTTTTTTCTCCGACTTTTACATGACATCCCCAAATAGGGAATTGTCAAGCTCCACGCAGAGCTACAGAATAAACAGTAAAAAAGAAAATTAACGTAAGAAAGAGTTTTTTTTCTAATAAATTTCTTATAAATATAAAAAAATTTACTTTAATAAAATTTATAGCTAAAAGTATATAAATATAATAATAAATATGAATTATAAACTCAGCATAAAACGTTAATAAAAAAATTAGAACATAAAAATATATAATATATTTCAGTTGTCAGATAAACTTAAATGATTTCATAAAAATAATAAACCAACAAAATTTAAGAAAATAAATAAGTTAATAAAAAAAGCATAAAATATAAATTATTATATTTTTCATAAGATATACATAATTATTCATATTATTATTATTGAATATATAGCTTTTATCTTTTTATGCGCTTTCGTTTGTTTGTATAGAATATCTATATGAAACTTTAATATTATTATCATTAAAAGTACAAAAAAGATATAAATAAAAATATTTACATTAAAAATAATATATAACTTGTATCATTCATATTATAATTAGTTTTTTGTTTGTTTTTTAAATAATTTTATATGAAACTTGTATATATTTGGAATCAAACGTAATATATATATATATATATTTATATTAAAAAGGTTAAAAAACTTATTATTTAAGTAATTTTTAAACTTTTTTGTAAATATATATAATTATTCATGTTAAAATTATGATTATTTTATATAATACTTATAAGAGACTTGTATAATTTTATAATAAAATACATATAAAAAATAAATATATAATAAAGCTTAAGATAAACTTTAGAATAATTTGTTAATATATTTTAAAAGTATATAAAATCATTTCTATCCTTATTATAATTCTTATACTTGTTTGTTTTATTATAAATATTTATATAAAACTTATATATACTAATCATCACACACACAAACAAAAAAAAGAGGTATACATATAAAATGAAAAAATCTAATAAACTTATTATGAATAGACTTTATAACAAGTAATAACAGTATAATTATTATTTATTTACATAAATATCCCTTTTTGTAAGGTTTTGTTTTGTTATTATTAAAAGTTTATATATTAAAATTTTAACGTTTTTATAAAAAAGGATAGTAAAAGATATAAGTAAGATATATAATAAAAATTATTATAAAGTATTTAATAAACATAATAATAAGCCAATCGTTCTGCTTCTTTCTTCCCTTTAGCTATCCCGTAACCGACTAGCTTTTCGCCGTTATACACCATACAAACCTTGAAAAAAAATAACGCATAAAAAAAAAAAGTAAAGTTTAAAAAAATATATTAATAAAGTAAACTTGAGGCATAATAAGTTAGACAAATTTTTTTAATAAAAATAAAATTGCGTTGTCATTATATAAATACTTAATATTATGTAAAAGCTAAAATTTACTTTAATAATAAATATAAATTTTCAAAAAATATTATAGAAGTAATAATACAATAAGTAAATCTATATTACATTTCAAGAAAGAAATGTTACAAAATATTAAGAATAATAATTAAAGCTTTGGTTTTTTTTAGAAGTTATTTATATAATAAATTTTTAAAGATTTCTAAGTTTTTCTCTTGAAGTATTAATATTTATAGTTATTCTTCTTTTTTTTTAAAAAAAATTGTAAATGTCTTAAATATTTTTTAAGTAAATATTATTTATTATTTACATTTTCTAGTCTATTATTTTTTTTAGCAAAAAAAAATTATAATATTTTATAACTTTTATAAGTAAATAACTTTTTTTTTATTTTAATAAAACTTCATCTTTTCTTATTTTATAAACAGTGAACTTTTCCTATTGAGCAGAACAAGCATACTTTTCTTGGCTAAACAATTTATTTACACCAAAAAATTATATCAAATTTTTAAAAAGAAAATGTTATATTTACATTATTAAAAATTATAACTTTATCATGGGCGGTAAAAAATATATAAAAGTTTATGATATATATTTAGGGTTTTAACGTAAAAAATAAGGTCATAAAATTATAATAATGTGAAAGAAAATAAAATCGTCTAGTCAAAAATATTATTAGCTGCTTGATTTGTATATAGTTTAATGCGATAAACTTAAAAATTCTTCTGCTAAAAGTTTTTTTAAGAAGTTTAGTTTAGTATATAAATAGCAGAAATATAAATTTAAAAAGAAAAAAATTATTCCCCTTGTTAATAATAGAAAACAAGTAAATATAAAAACAGTTTAGTTTTTTAAATTAAAAAAAATATACAAGCAAAAAAAAATTATTAGTTTGCTTCAAAATAATAACCAACAACTAAAAAAATAAAAGAAATTAAGTTATTACATAAATAGCCAAAATATACAAGCAAGAAAAAAGTTATGCCTCTTAATAATATTATAAAAACCAGTAAATTTTACTTAAAAAGTAATTAAATAAATTTTAATATCAATTTTTTCTAATAAATGCTTGGAATTATCTCAAAACTACTAAAAATTATTTTTCTTTATTAAAAAACTTTTTTTGTATAAATATAACTTATTAAAAAAAAGTATTTAATTGTACATAATAATTAATTAAAAAATTATTATAAAATTTATAAATTAAATAATTATTTTCTACAACTGATAATAAATAATTATTGATATATAAAAATACAAATCATACTTTAATATACTCAAAAAATTTTATTATTATAATTGTTAATAATATATGATAATCAAAAAAAGAAAAATGTACGGAAGTTGCTTTCCTTTATAAAAAAATTTTCATTATTTTAAAATTATTTATAGATTTTTATAAATATTAATAAAAACAATAAAGAGGTACTGACGTAAAAAAAACTTAACATTATTATAATATTTATAAATATAATACTATTTATGTAAATAAAAATATTACCATATGTTACTTAAAAACTTTTTATTATTATAACTAGTATAATTAATTACAAACTAAGAAAACTTTACTAAAGATTATTTAACATTATGTATTATAAATTTAAATATAAAAAAATATTTATTATTATAAAATAAATAAAAAAATAAAAAGTATATTGAAACAGTTTAAAATACAAATAAATAATACTGAATTGTTTCAATTAAAACGTAAAAAAAATTTATAAGCCAATTTAAACTTTTTATAAACTATAATAAAAAATTTTGAGAAAAATAAATTAATCCAAATTAGTTTTAGTAAAAAAAAACTCATCATGTAAAGTTTTACCTCGTGTGCAAACTTTCGAGAGTGAGGGGGGCCTTATTATAATCATAACAGTAACGATAATGATAAATAATACATAATAGTAAATAGTAATATTAGAATCATTTTTGAGCTTAACATTTAATAATAAATAATAAAAATAATAACATATATAATAAAGTAAAAATAATAAAAACTTGTAAAAATAAAATTATTTTAAATTCAAAGTTAACAAAGTTAAATAATAATTTATAGAACTAATGAAATTAAAATAATTTTTTAATCCAATGTTCAAAAAATTATAGTATTATATAATAAATAATAGTATTATATAACAAATAATAATAACCAGTAAAATTAGAATTATTTTTAATCTCAATGTTCAACTTTCTACAATATTCTAGAAGATAACTTTTCGGGTTCGAAATCCAACGATCAGTAACTGTTGTTGGGTGGTGATTGATAGCGTGGGATTCTTAAAATATAGTTGATAATGATAATAACAAAATATAATAAAGTCAGTAAAATATATATAATAAAAGTGTTAAATTTTTTTTTTTTCAAATTAAAAGTTATAAATTTTAGTTCTACTGAATAATAGTAATTATATATAAATAAATATACGGAGTGCATCAGAAAACCATGCAGGCGATAACGACTGCTTTAAAATCTGTCCGCTCCTATAAATCAACTCTTGATGATTCACAAGACCTTCACTTTCAAGTTGATCTAAAATCTAAAATATAATTGCATCAAAATAATAGGTGTAAATTTTTTAAAAAAAAAATAAATTTGACGAAAATAGGTAATATAAATTTACAAGCGCTGTAAAATAAAAAATATTTAATACAAAATTTGACTTAGTAACAGTAACTACTGATCAACTAAAAATTAAATATAATTATTAACTTAGTTAGTAAAATATGCCAAGATATTAATAAACTTTGAGATATCAAAAATGCTATACCTTATACAAAAAAAGTAAAAAGGTAAAAAATTAATTTCATTAAGATAGGAAACTTTAAAACAATTGAAAAATTTTTTTATTATAACTATATAATATATTAGTAAAAAGATAATACTTTAGCACAAGCAATTTTTTCTGCTTCTTTTTTATTATAACGAACAGAAGAACCAGTAAAGGTGCCTTAACGAAATACAAAAAAAAAAGTTATGATTAATAAATAAAAAAGAGTAATAGCCAAAAAAAACCTTTCGAATGGGTTATAGTTACCGTGCTTTTATGAAATATAGAGTATCCGTGCTTCCCTATATATAAATAAATAATTCCAAAAGAAAATAAATATAAAAAAGTAACTCACCAAAACCATGTAAGTTTGGCTGAAACGTTTTCTTTTCAGTAAAAACAGTATTCAATGGAGGCAAACTTATTTAATAAATATATAAAAATACTTTCCTCCATTAATAAATACCTACCTGCACTTAGTAAGATACTCTAAAAGAAGGGACTTGGCTCCTTGGCCTCGGGTCCACTTATTAAGTAAGTTATCATAATTATAATTTGCTTCATCTTTACGTTCATAATCTTGAAAAAAAGGATATGAAATTTTTTCTGTTTTAAGAGAAGAATTTTCTTGCGTTATAGAATTAATAGCAGGGAAAATCGGCGGGACCAAGGTAGTAAGAGGTACGGCTGGGTAGTCAAACATCTACAACTAAACTTCAAAACTATATATCGTTGTGCAGATAAAAATTTAAATAACTACTAATTACATATACAGTAATAATATATATTAACATTAATATTTATAAAGCATTAAAAACAAAGCTAATCGTTAAATTATGTCCCTCAGGTCGCTAAAAGGCAGTGCGCTTTAACGCTTTTAAAATTTCTTCAGCCTCACAGGCCAGCTAACGAAATTTTATATAATGAAATCAGCCCTACATTAAGTGGATAAAAAATCATAGGGTGAAACTTTATAAATTAATAAAATAAAATAAAAATTGTATTAAAAGTAGGATCGAGTAACTTCAAGGTTTATAAATTTAAATGAAAATAAACATGTAAATTGATAATGAGTGAAGCTAGCAAGGTCATTTTTTGAAGTTTTATACAACGATCATTCTATAAGCAATTTTGCAATTGCTCTGCGTCCTTCAATGTGCGTGACCTTTTATAAATAGTAAGCCGGGATAAAATCGCACTTATAAATAGCATACATTATTAATCCCTTATGGGTTAACGATTTCTATGTATACCTTTGTTGCCTAACTTCAGTTCATTGATTTCGCAAAAAAAAAAAAAAAATCTATTTTTAAGCCCTAGAGTTTTGTCCGTTAAAGGGTTAAAAAGGGTTGCATGAACTTCCATGCACACAGCTAATGTTCACAATTCGGCAACAGATGGTATAGTGTGGATATCATATTTTAATGTACAGATATTTGTTAGTGCGTATATCTGTAAAGTAGTTAGTTCTCAGGCTTTTTATAATAATTGCTAGCTCTCCGTTCTTAATGTGATCGGTTTAAGTAAAAGGTTACTTTTTTAGCAAAAAAATTAAAAACACTAGTTTAATTATAACAATTGCAGGAGTTGCATGAAATAATGAAGTAAGCATAAGTAGAAAACCTCTTCATTAATCTTTGTGACGGTTCATCTAACACCTTGCACTTAGCATGAGCGGCTAAATTAAGTAAGAGAGTTCGAAGTTTAAGACAGCATATGTTAAAAAAAATGTTAGTATGCTTAGTAACTTATAACCCTTCAAATAACTAAGTACTAACTTGATATAGGATATGTCAGGTGTAGATAAAAGTATTTCATAAATAGGGTAATATGACTTCATTCCTTTTAATTTTAAAACTAACAGCAAAACAGAAACGCTAAACATAAAGCCTTCTTGAAGACGATCCGCAAGTGGAACAATAATATCAATCTTAACACACGATAATTAGTTGATTTTATGAAAAATTTACAATAAAAAAATAGAAAATTTGTTTTTATACTTACAGATAAACTTATACAAAATAAATAACCCAAAAATTATTCTAATTTTCAGGAACAAACTAATCTATGAAACATCCTTTTCTAAAAGTAATGAATACGAACCGGAATAATGTCAGTCTCCCTTAATTACCTTAAATAATATTTATTCAGTACTTCAAGCGTTTCTCTTTATAGTTTGGAAATAAACCTTTTAAGAACTGTCTGTAAATGCTTATAATAATTACTTTAAGTATATTTATAATCTCTAGATTTCATAAAAACAAATTAATTCGACATTTGTTTTGCAACAAGAGCTAACCATAGATATGGCCTATCTGGATAACGTCAAAAGAAAAACTTCTTTTATGAAGGGAAATGGCCTATAACTAGACTATATTTTTAGTTTTAATTACATATGTCACGGCAATACTAAAAGTATACTTACAGTAGTCTCCTTTATTGCCCTAAAATATGAATAATTATGAAATATCATTTATAGAAACCGACGATTTAGTGTTGATACACTTATTATGTAGATTGCAATAAACGCCATTTTAATAAAGTCTTGCATACATCATAGAACCCACTATCAAGCCACTTATTCATAAAATAATAAAAAATTTCTAAATAACTTTAATAAGGGTCAGAGACCCGGAAAATAATATGCATTTACATAGAAAAAAAACAACTGTTAAGGCCAAAAACCAAAAAGCAAAGCCGTCGTGTTATTGTTTTAAAAAAACCGAAACCAAAACTGAGTTGTGCGGTAAAACTAGGTAATGTGCTTGTCTCTAGCAAGTGGTGAATATATCCCGGTTAAGCATGACTCTCTTACAGTTTAAGATGGGCTATAAACGGAGCTTGAAAAGTTTTATGTTTCTTGGATGAATGTATCAGGATATATACATAAATAACCCGCATATATAGAAGATAAATTAATTAAGAAAATCACAAACTGATATTTTAATATTAACGCAATTTCGAACATTTTAGCAGGGGCGGTTATAAAAACTAAATATTTATTACTACAAATATGGTAATCCGCACATCTTTTGAACGAAACAGATAAATATTTATGACATAAATGCTTTCTAACCTGGGTAAAGTTAATATAAATGGCTTTACCGCCTATAAATAGAACAGTTCCCATTATTTTTACAATGCAAGTTTTCCATTTAAATATAGCATTAAATTAATATGACAATATAGTAAGGTTCCATTTAAAGAATGTAAACTTCCGAAAAACCCCATACTTAACAACAACCAAATTTAGCATTTGCAAGGTGGAGCACTCATATCGAAAAAATCCCGATAGAGAAAGCTTTCAAAATATATTTATAATAAATATTATTAATGCTAACAGTAATAAATTAGACACACGTTTAAACAGTAATAATCCACAAAAAATAATAATTTAAAGGCCAACCGGTTAAAAATATCACAAATTAATATTTATGAAATAGACATTATTAAACAGTTTGGCAGAGGCTATGTTAAACACATATTATTATATACATATATGGTTATTATGTCTCATGTATCTTTTAAATGGGACCAATATTCCAAGAAGCTTAAATTTAAGCAAATATACATAAATGGAAATGCTTTTTTTTTTAATCTCTTTTGTAAAGGTACAACCTATTTGATAGAACTCCCCGTCTTTTTGATCTGGCCTTCTTCGTCCTCAGTGCAGTTAAGCGGATCCCTTTTTTTTACAGATTAATACCCTCTTTACTTTTTTTCTACTGTGTCCTTCTACTTTTAAATAAATGATTCGCGCACGATGGTAGATAGTACCTTATCAAAAGTTGTGATTAGTACCGATACTTACCTGCATCCGTTCTACACTTTTTATTGCACTTATTAGTTTTTAAAAATTATAATCGTAGCACATCAACAAATCTTGCTGTTATACAGCTCAACTAAACCATTTTGATAGATAACAACAAATAATGGGAAGCAGCTTTCTCTTAACCCTCTATACAACGTGACGTAAACTAATTAACAAGAACTAACTAAAAAATATATATATACAATAATAAAAGTGGTAATAATCCCTTTCAGACCTTAAACTTATTAAAAAAGGTCAATTACCAGTAGGCTTCATATGCAAAACCTTTTCGAAAGGGGAAAGATAAAAAAGGCTTTATCATATATCGCATTTTAGGAGGTACACAAACGCTTTATAATAAAAAAATTCAGTGTGAGAACTGTAGTTGCTTCCGAGTTATATTATTGTCCAAGCACTAGCGCTTAGTTTAAAAAGCCTTAAGTATTTTAGAGAAACATTAATCTTAATATTACAATTAAATTATGTAGCACACAAATTTGTTGTTCCGAACTTATAGCTATGCCAGGGCAATTTGTGTAAAAAGGATATATAAAATTATTAATTTAAACAATGTACAAGGCAAATCAAAATTTATAACTCAAGCAAAATAAAGTCCTGCGGTCGACTAATTATAAGTTTGAGTTACTTATGTATATTTAACATAAGATAAGAATAATAACTTCAGTATTAATTTTATTATAATAAAGTAAAATAAAAGGTATGTCGTTACACCTTGAACGCTTTAAGAAACTTACATGATTACTTTTGTGTTGTTCAATTATCCAACTCTCAATCCGGGCTCTTTACTAAACACAGTAACCCCCGATGATTCACGTGACGTTGTATATTTAAACTAACTTACTGTGGTTGCTGTGCGCGTGGATTGCTTTAATGTTTTAAAAAATTACTTACATACTAAACGTTGAAAAACTTAATCGTTTTTATATGGGAAAGCTTAATGTCCAGAACCTTCGTTACCTTGAAGGAGAAGCCTTTCGCGTTTTAACTTCGGTTTGTTTACAGTATATATATGCTTTGATTGTTTAAATTTTTGTGACACCCTTTATTTTTAGATTGAGTTAGGCACTCGCAATCATGAAATTGTTCCTGTTGAATTAATTGCAACTCTATCACATCTTCGAAAAAACCACTGCCTTAATATTTTGTTTGAACTTGTAAAACTAAAGTTAGTAGCCTACGCATCTTCGCAGTGTAAATATTACTCTATTGTTTTAATCTTAATATTTAGAATTATATTAACCTGTATGATATTTGTCTTATACACTAATAAGATTTGGCAGTTTATTAAAAAGTTTTCCTTATGTTTTTAATTTTAATTTTTTACTGTTAGTCCCCAGTTAGTGTTTATATATAGTTATGAGTTTTAGCAGTCTATCTAAACTTTTTACTTATTTTTTAACTTCTTTAACTTATTATGAAGATGAAGGATACAAACTTACTTATCCTGGATACGATTGTCTAGCTCTAAAAGCTTTTGTAAATAGAAGGATAATTTATTCTATCGGTTCGCAAATAGGCTTGGGAAAAGAATCCGGTTTTTATATGATATTATTTATTTTTTTAGTAAAAGTTATAAGGTTCATATATATTATTTTAAACAGATTGTTTTTTTTTTTCTGATTTTTATATGAACATCTCTAATGTAATTTTATTACATTCATTCCAATTTTTATTACATAATTATAAATTAACTTTATATATTGTTTATATAAAACTTTTATGTTTTTTTAGATATATACTTGGCCGCTACTGAAGATGATAAAATTTATGCTATAAAATTTCAAAGGTTTTTTTTAGAATCATTTAAATTTCTCTTATAAAATTCTTTTTAGACATTTTATTTTTAAATTTATTTTATTTTATAATATTTTAAAAAAAAATTATTTAAATTTTTTAATTAAGATTGGGAAGAATTTCCTTTCGTAGTGTTAAAAAAAATCGAGATTATTTAAAGAACAGAAAGACTTCTTGCTGGTGCTACTTATCTCGTCTTGCGGCAACCAAAGAATTTGCTTTTATGAATGTTTGTGATTGTTATTCATCCTTCTTTTTTAGTCTATAGATATATTTTGTATATATTTTTATTTGTATTAAATTATTTATTTATATTATATACTTAAAAAATATAATAAATTTATTATTAATTAGTATTGTTTATATACTATTTTAATTTTTAATAATTTCTATTTTTAACTGTTATGAAATTTATTTTAATTTATATTTTCTTAGACTAAAATTATTTTTTTTGTAAAATCAATTTAACTTTTAAACTATTTTTTATTTATACTTTAAGTTATTTTTGAAGCTAACAAGCTTTAATTTTGATTGTATCTCCTTGTACTTTAGATTATTTTTGTTTAAGACTTTATAATAAATTTAATTTCATAGATTATTTTTTATTACTCAATTTTTATTTTATTTTATTTTTATTTTTCGTGACTTACTATATTCCAGTAATAATGTAAGTTCTTTTTTTTTAAATTTATTATTGTTTATTTTTTCTGTAAGCATAATTTATTCAATTAAAATTATTTTGTCTTCTCAACTAAAGTAATTTTTTAAAAAATATTCTTTAATATTATTTATTGTTCTTAATTAATTTACCTTTTTTATAACTTTGAAGTAAATTCACAATACACTAACTTTGCTTATTATTTTTAGTTGTACATCTTTATAAAATCTGTTTAAGTTTGTTTGCATCCTACATGAGGGTCGCCTTAATTTACTAGTTTTATTAAAACTTATTCCTCAAAAGTTTTTTTCTAGTTATTAAGAATTTAAATTCAACTAATTAACAATTAACGTTTTAAGATTAATTGGATTTTAGTGAATTCTTGTATAATAATTTTTTAAATAATGAAGGAAACTGTCTTTTACTTACACGTTTCCTCCATATATACCGGTTATACTGAAAAATGCATTATTTTTTCACTAGTAGAAAATTTTTTTTATTGCTGGTCGTTTATAAACTTTTTATTTGGCTTTTTTTTTTAAATAAATTTGTATCAATTGTTAACTTTTTTATATAAATTTGAACTTATTTAGTTTTTTCGTAGCTAATTACTGATGTAAATAGCAAAATTGATGCATTAATATGCATATATTACTTTTATGTTGGCTTGATGTTTATATAAATATACTCTACTTGAAAATATCTGAAAACATAAATTAGCAAAGAAAAATACAAATTTTTATAAAAAATATTGCAAAAGGAAAATCATTAAAATATTATTAATAAGATCTATAATATTTAAAAAGAATTTTAGATTCTCACTCATATTTTTGGGAGAGACAAAATTTGTGATTATAGAATTTCTTTTTATAATTATATTTTTAGTATATTAAACTTTTGTCAATGAAAATATATAATATAAAATAAATTGTTTATAGTTATTAATAAAAGGTTTATTCCTATTATAGAAGTGATAGATAGACTTTATAATTATTTTCAAGAAGTTTAGATTTATTTTATATATTTTATATTAAAAACTTTAGATAATATTGACTTTACTTTATTATTATTTTTCCTTTTAAACTATATTTATATAATTATTATGATTTTTATCAATTTTAAACTTAATATTCATATATAACTTTTTATATTGAAAAGTTTTACTTATTATGAATTTTTAAAATAACTTTATGATTATATTTATTTTAATTATTTGTAATATTAAAGTTTTTTTACTTATATTATAATATTTTATTTTTACTTTTAGATACTTTATAAATATGGCTTTCCGGTTCCACAACCGATAGATCATAATAGGCATTGCATTATTATGGAATTCATAGAAGGACTGCCGTTGTACTTTTATTATTGATTTTTTTATTACAAAAAAGTTCATAGTATAGTTGTTCTTTTATCACTATTTATTATTTTCATTAAAAATAGTTTAACTGGTTTTATTTATTATTTATTATTTTTTACTTATTATAAAAGTTTTAATAGTTTCAATAAAGTTTAGAAATTTATTAGTTATAAACTTCTAATTTAAAAACTTTAAGTTAATAAAGTGCTTTGGTAATTTTTATTATTATTGTATTATTTAAGTTTAGAAAAGTTTTGTTTGTAAACTTGAAGATAATTCAATGCTGTTGTACATTTATTATTATTATTATTATTATTATTATTATTATTATTATTATTATTATTATTATTATTATATTTATATTTATATAAAAGTTCGACTAGTTTTAATAAATTTTAGGAAATTTTTAATAAAAAAGTAAAATTTTATTAAATTTTTTTTGTTTTAGAAATCGTGTGCGAGCATTGGGGGATGTGAGTCAGGTTTATCACCATTTGATGGATTTAATAGTAAAACTAGCCAATCACGGTTTGATTCATGGCGATTTTAACGAATTTAATTTGCTGATGGGTGAAGAAGATAACATCACGATGATTGATTTTCCGCAAATGATATCAATTGAACACCCCAATGCTGAATGGTATTTGCTGTTTGACTAATTTATATGGTTATCTATCGGCTTATATTTAAATAACTGAAGGTATTTTGATCGGGATGTCGAATGCGTTTGTGACTTTTTTAAAAGACGTTTTTGCTATGAAGATGAGAGAGTGCCAAAATTTTCAAGCGTTGTAAGAATTGCATATCTGGATTCAGAAGTACAACTAATTAAATATTATATATTGAATTCAATTTTTTTTTATTAACCAGTTATATTACTTCTTAATATTGTTTATGCTCAGGTGGCTGCTAGCGGCTGCACTAAGAAAAAGGAAAAGTTGCATGAGCAGCTAATTTATTTGCAGGAGGACAACGATTGTAGTAGTGAAGAAGACGGCCAATTTGAGAAAGAAATCTCCACTTGTCACGTGCATTTGGATAAACTTTCTTTGCAGTCTACAGACAATACAGTTCCTGATGAAAGTATTTCCATATTTTCAAGCACTGACTGGAAGAATAGTTTAAATCTTTTAATTTTTTTACTTTTTAAAAGTAGTTTACTAATTATATTTTTTTTAGCAGAGAAATGTTCTTTAAGAAAAAAGTTAAAGGATAAAGAAGTAAACTCAAGAGATATCAAGAAATTTGTTTCTGAAAAACTGGAAAAGAAACATAAAGCGACAGTTAAAGTTCACACTAATGCACAGAAAGAAAAGAATAAGAATAGATCTAAAAATAAACGAATTATAAAAGAAACTTCAGGCTGGGACTGATCTTTACTAATTAATAAGGTAATAAAAGAATAAAGTTATTAAATATTATTATGTAGTTTTGACTTATTTACGAATTGAAATTTTTTATTTACTTAAGTAACTTTTATACTAATAAAAAATTGAACTTTTAGTTTTAACTGTTAAGAAAGTCTACGTTGTAGTAAAAAAAAGTTAGTATAACGCAATTAACTCCAAGGTTTTTTTGGATGGGACGTAATATTTAGTATACACTGGTGTTACGTATTACACTTACAGTTATGCTTTGAGTTCTCTTTTTGTATAAATTCTTGCATTTACTTTTTAAAAAGTTTATATTAAAGAGCAGTAAAAGTTAGATAAACATTTATTTAATAACTTTATTTTTAAGTTTGGCACTTTTAAAAGCTTTTTTTTAAACTCAATAAAGTATTTGTTTTTATTGAATTACTCTTTAAAAATAACTTGTTCGGTACTTCTACGCCTTGGCAAGGGCTTGTGTAGATGATAGCCCAAGACTGAGTGGAGTGGGCTAGGAAGTGCTTGTACTTTATACGGCACTTCCCATGCCACCTCAGATACCTGTACAACCCAGGATAAGACTGATCAAGTCGGTTCTGGTTTCTGAAGATATGTATGGAACAGAAATGAGGAGACCGCAAGCGAGTTTAACCTATCCCATCAAGAAAGTCGTTGATAAAGCGCTCAGAATGATTTTCAGATGTTTAAAGGATAAAGGGTGTCCAAACTTCTTTTATAGAGTGCCACTTTATTAAAAAAATATTGGACGGGCCCCTTTTTCATTTAGGTTACTTCTTCTGAATCTTAATGCATATGTCCCCTTACCCTATTATTTTTTTCCCCTGAATCGAACATTAGGTAAAAAGTTTTTCTTCTTAAATTTATTTAGGTAAGTGATTTCTTTGTCAATCATTTTATTATTAAATATATGAAACAAAGCACTCCCCCAGTTGTTTTACTTAAAACTAACCTTTAACTATTAAAAAACAAAGCTTTTAACACAGATCACTCTGTTATTGGGTGTTGTGAATAAAATGTAAATATACTTGTTCATGTTAAAAAAACAGCAATTTTTTACAATATTGAGAAACTTCAACTCAAACTTTAATGAGGCCTTTAAACTTGCTTTTTCTGTCAATTTTTTAAAATTAAGAGCGCAAAATCAATTAATTTGATAATCTGTCTGGGGTAGCAATTTTTTGAAACGAGGTAAACTGAAAGGTTTCCAAATATTTCCATAATGTGCCATCAATGCCACGTGACTTTTTAACAAAAGTGAGCTGGACAAATAGCAACTTTTTTAAAGGAAATTGAAAAAGGATTTGTAAAAAACTGAACATACTTGACATTCTCTTGAATTTCGGCCAATTTCTCTTCAAACTGTTTTGTTTCAAAATTAAACTTGTTTTTTAAAATTCATGAACTTTAGAATTTTTGTTCTCTTGCCTTCGAGAGGAGTGGAGGTCACCTTTACAGAATGCACTTCCCTGTGTCAGTTTAGATTAGAAAGATTGAATCATACCTAACAAATTTGGGAAAAAATTCGTTCTGCCTTGCAAATGCTCGGTTAAATTATTTTAATGGCCCATATTATCTGTCACAAAAGTCAAATCCTCCGACCAATCTTTATTGTTCAGAACAAAGCACTCTTCTGGGGGTTGATCACGCACTTCTAAGTATCCCAAAGTAAATATCTGAATTCCAAAACCTTTCCAGACTTGACCTTAAGATAGCCAACGAACAGTGCCATATAGTAGTATTTCACTGTTTCTCCTTCATTTGGGGTTGTGAGGGGAATAATGGTGGGTCCCCTGGTGTAAAGAGCATTGCCTTGATTATGATTGATAGACCGTACTACAGGATCAGGGACAGCACAAAAGTTAATATTTCGGACGCAGAGAGCTTTCTTAAAATAATGCTGTGATATTTAAAAACTTAGCGTTTTAAAAATCCTTCTAACAACTTACAAAACCTTTTACCTTCCCGGTCAATGCCAGAGCTCCATTCGTACAAACACTACCCATTTTGTCCAGTTTAATTAAAGGTTGTTAATTACATCTTTAATTTTAAGCAAAACATCTTCTTCTTTACTAGAAGCCAACTCCCGCATATCTGAGCCCTTCCTTGATATTGAATTGTTCGCTGACACAACGCTATAAATGCACGATTGTGCAGTGTCAGTTACATTTCAACTCTCGTTTAAAACAAGAGAAAAGCAGGAGCACGCGGTTTTACGTTGGAGTGTTTGTTAATTAACCTCATTTGTAATTCCATCGTTTCTTCTCAAAACATTACTTCTTAAAGGACAACATCATCTAACATTGATAAAATTATTGATTTGCTACGGTTTTAGCAAAATTTTTAAAACACGGTTTCACTATTTTTTCTTATATAATAAGCTTTTTTTTCTTAGCAATAACAAATTAAATGCCATAAAACACTAGTCATAGCTTCTTGCTGAGTACTAACCTTTTTGAAAAATGTTTGTTAATTATTTTTCTGCTTAAACTGCTTTCGACTCTAAATTCAGGGATACTTTGTATTCAAATACCGTTAAAATTAAATTTTTTTATGGTACGGCTACACAAGCATTACAAATGAGACTGCCTTAGAACCAACGCCTTTCATGTTAAATTCGCGGAGCATTAATCGTCTTAGTGCTTACTTTTCCCAGCTGAAGTAGACCGTTTATCTAGATTCATAATGTAACTTCAAGTGTACTTCTAAGTATCTTTTATTGCTTAATGAAAAGGGGGTTGAAAGTCAAGGTTTTTATTTACCGCCAAAATACAAGGTACATATAGCATCAATATGGTAGTCATGCACTATCCACTGGGGTGTATGTCACTGCAGTGGGTCGGAGGGAGGGTATAAAAGGAGCGTAAATGTTGGGTTCACGCTGCACAGCGATTTCAAACTCCAGTTAAGTTAGCTAAGCTAATTTATTTGTACGGCTACCAGTAGTTTTTTTAACTCTCATGACCACGTGCCGCGGTTGGACCACTGTTGTTCTAGATCAACGCAGCTTGCATCACCGCGCGAGGAGTTGGAGACGTGGTCTGTAGTGGTGCTAGGTGCTGCTAACCGAGCCCGCGCCTATGGCAAGTTGGAAGTAACTTTTCTTAAAGCCACATGGGTGTATGAGGGTAGTAGATCCTGGTTCTGTACCGCCAGAAGAAAAGGCAACTCCCAGCTTAAAGTGAGTACCGTCAGTCGTTGCTGAGAGAAGGAAAAGTGACAACGCCGTATTTGCAAATACGTCACTTGTCGAGAGCTTTAGGTGGTGTCACCCGGAATGGCTCATCCCAGGTTGACTAGGGGTTATTTGACGTTAAGGCAGCTACGGATGAAAGCATACCAAGTCGCGAGCATTGTGGCAAAGAGGAAGGCCAATTTTATAGTCAAGCGACCCTTTTGTTTGGCAACTGTTTAAGGGACCGCCGGGCGTTTGTTAGTGGAGTGTCCGCGTTGGGAGCAAGCGCCCAGCGGATAGCACCTAACGATCTTCATATTGTTACAGGGGCGCTCCTTAGAAGGGCGGATGATAGGGCGAAGTGTCAACGTCTCTAGAAGAAGGCTAGTGAGAAATGGGCAGCTTTTACGACACGCTTTTTACAGGTTGTTAGCCCTAAATGATGGGAAGTCTTACGGTCGCTCCTCGTATCCTCCTCGAACCGAAATCAATGGTTTGACGGCCTTGAAAGGGAGCTAGGAAGGTGGATTTTCGCTGGTATGATTTCAGTACTACTTATTAGACCGAAAGTTTAGCGCTAAGATTACTATATTGGAATAAGTCATATTTGATAGAGAAAATACCTTAAAGGATCTAAAGCAGGGCTCTAAAATATGATGGGAAGAAGTTCAATTATACCCACATATTTTATAACGTTACTTAGCGATATGGGTTTTGCATATTCTTTATGCCACAGGACTCATTAATTTACAAAAGGGGAAATGTTTTTTAGGAAAACATGCATGTACTCCACTTGTGTATTAAATACTAATTTATAATTACTTGCCCATTATAATTCACCAAAACTAGCAGTGGGATCCTTTTAAAAGAAAATCACGATATGTAATGATCTTAAAAAAGCAATATTATATGGAGGCGTCAGGAGTCTTTAGTTTCGGTCCGCTATATAATATTATTAAAGCTGGCTACTGGAAGCCTCTTGCAGATCCAGTGCTCTGTTTTTGCAAAAATATAAAGGATAACACCGTTCGCCATGGTACGAGGGTTGTCAGGCGGAAAGTGAGCCTGGTCTAGAAGAGATTGTTTTAAAAAAACTTGGACTGTATGTGTACACACATGATGGTAATAGCCGATGTGTCAAATTTGATAATGATTGATGTAACAGTTATTAAAAAAAGGTCAAGCAAATAAAAAGTTATCTAGCGTGATGTGATAAAGTACCTTGGGAAAAAAGGTGAGCATACCAAAGAAGTCAACGAGGTGTTATTGACCACTTATCCACACTGTGCTCCATCGTATGCAACTTTCAATAGGTGGACTTCGTCTGTTTAAAAAATGACGATAGTCATTAAAGGCACTGAGCATCCAGAACCGTAGTGCACGGTCTTTACGAAAGTAAATATTGAAAAGGTGGAAGATTTGGGAAGATCTCCGAACCCAAGTTCGCCAGATAGCAGAGGAACCATAGGTCAGTAAAGATAGCATTTGGCAAATTTCCTTCATAGTCATTTACTAATGAACAAGGTAAGCGCACGTTGGGTGCCAAAAAG